CAGCCCTCCCTGGTTTCAGATAAAGAAATGAAGACCCCAGTTCCTGGGCCGGGTCAGATCCGCACATCACCAGGCTGGGGAGAAGGTGTCCCGACTCCAGAGCACAGGTAGACCAAGGGCCGTGGGAGCTGCTGAGGGTTGGCAGCAGGAGACACAGGCAGACTGGAATCTTTGTCCGGCCCCCCCGACACCTTCCAACCCCTGGCATTCCATGCCACACCAAGGCCACCGCCTGCCTGGGACAGACCCAGGTCACCCCGTCTCTGAAGCGCAGCCCCAGCACTGGAGGCATAGTGTGGGAGGGCCCCACCAGAAGTGGCCTGGGGCCCTGCGGACACGTGTGAAGCATTAACTCCATCTGGGCTGCCTAGCATGCTGAGGGCCTGAGGTTGCTCTCCCAGAGGTGGCTCTTGGTGTCTGGAGAACGGGGGAGGGCCAGTCTCCCCAGCCTGGAGGGGAACCTTTCTCAGCACCAACCTGGAGTGGTGAGTGGGGTGCATGGCTGGGAGGTGCACAACCACTGCCCCCCATGGGTGGAACCTTATTCACCTCCTGTGTGCCCTGGGTACCCTCAGGCGCAGGAATGGAAGGAAGGGGTGCTGGCTCCAGGAGGGAGTCTGGGGTGGTGGGGCAGGGCAGTGGTAGAGTCTCGGGGACATAGCACTGGAGGATGCATACGGGGAGCCCTGGAGGAGCCGGTGGGATCTAAGCTGCCATTCTGGGGTGGGGGCTCTGATGGGGGACTGGGGGGCTAGAGGCGACCTTCAAGGTGACACCAAGGGTACAGCTTGGGGGTGCTCGGGAGGGTTTCAGCTATAGGTCTGGAGAGCTGTGGGTCTGTAGCAGGAAGAAAGTCAAGTGCTAGGATGTTGGAGCCACCAGGTCCTGCCGGGACAAGGAAGGAGGGATGAAGGGGGCTGGCATGGAGGCTTCTGGGCTGGGGGCCCCAGGGGTCAGGATCCATGGGCCAGAATGGAGCGGAGGGGGTCTCGGCACCTACATGCATCTGCCCACTGGCTTCCCATGCTGGCTGCGGGTTCCTCTTGCTTACAGCAGGCTTGGAGCAGGCAGGCTCCTCCTCAGGAGGTGACAGCAGAGCAGGAGGGAAGAACACCCTGAGACAGGCATGGCCATGGCTTCGTCCCTGTGGGAGGCAGTCAGGCCCCCAGAACCCTCCACAATCATCCTCCCTGGGCTGAGGACCCCACCCCATGCTCAGGTGGTGGGGACACTGTTGCAGAAATGACACAGGTGTCTCTGGCAGCGAGGGTGCATGTGCATCCCAAGGCCACCCTGCTTTACAGAGAAAAGAGCAGAGTCACAGGGCTGGGCAGGGCCAGAGCTTTGTGAAGAACTTGAATCCCAAACCCCAAAGCTTAACAGCCCTGCGGTATTGTGAGCCAGGAGCTTACTGGGCATCAGGGACCTCAGCAAAGATCCTGGGGTATACTGGGGTCACTGGAGACTACCCAGCATCCCTGGGCTGCGCCAGCCACACCGAATGGCTAGGCTCCCTCCCAGCAGGGCAGCTGCATATCCTAGGGACAGCAGGAGACCAATGTCACTGACAACCTGCCACTGCCTGCTGTGGGTCTCCCAACTCCCCCAGCTCTGGCAGGAGCAATGTCAGGGTGGCAGAACAGGGAGGTGTGCGGGTGATGGCCACAGGCAGCTGTTCATCAGCAGGAAAGACCGCCGGCCCCACCAGAAGCCCAGCTCAGGCGTCTGGCTTTGAGCATGCATGCTTCTGGCCCACTTGCACCTCTTGCTGCCCTATTGACAGTGGTGGCTTCCCCAGCGGCCCAAGTCACAGAACACTCCGTTCCACTGGGCCCTGGCTCCTCCCCAGGGTCCTCATCATGACAGCAGAGGAAGAACCATGTCACGCAAGGGCGTGATGATGCCAAAAACGGTCTGTGTGTGACACCCAGAGCCAAGGGAAGAAGAAGCAATTAAAGCAGAGTCCTGCTGGGAGCAGTGGCTCCCACCTGCACCTGCAACGCTCAGGAGACTGAGGCGGGATGATCGAAAGTTCAAACCTAGCCTGGGTAGTTTACCAATGTATCTGTCTCAAGATGCAAGTGAAAGGTTGGGGATGTAGCTAAGTGCAGAGGCCCTGGGTTCAATCCCCAGCATCTCTCTCTCTCTCTCTCACACACACACACACACACACACCCCTCAGTGACACAGTGAAGGGTCGTCAGCAGGCTGAGATTTCAGAGCTGTAATGGAGGAGCTCCTGATGGGGGAGGACAGCCATGAGGAGGTTCCCAGGGGACCGTGCAGGTGTCTCCCCAACCCTGCAAAACATAACACTCAGCTTGGACACAGGCAAGGTGGGCATTGTGGACCGAGGGCTACATCATGGTTAGCTGGCACAGGACTCTCGAAGGCCCCAGCAGGGAAGCAACGTCTGGGTGCTGGGGTGCCAGGGGTCTTCAGGACCGGGAAGGCTGCTGGACGCCCAGGAGCCCCTCAAACATCATCTGCGCTGAGCACAGCCCACTGAGGCAGGCAGCCTGAGCCCCCACACACAGGGGCTTCGGCGTGCAGGACAGGCGTGAAGCTGCCAGGCAAAGCTGTGAATGCAACAAACGGTTCAGCCAGACAGGAAAAGGAGGCTGGAGCAGACACAGGAGCCCAGAGAACACAAGAAGCTGCCGTGCCTGCCATCTCTCAGATGTGGCTTCCAGGACTGGATCAGGTCGTGAGGGGAAGGCGGACAGCAAAAGTCGTTCCTGCGAGCCTGGCCCCAGAGTTCCAGAGAGAAACGTGGTATAAAAATGCTGGAGACGACATGGGCGCATCTTGCTGTACACAGAGTAAAAACACAAGAAAGCCTGGCACAGACGAGAAAAGTGTAGATGGAGGCCAGGCGGGATGGGGACAAGAGCAAGTGGGAGACAGGGAAGCGGAGGGCATGCGCAGATGTGTCCCCGACCCCCGGCCAGAGCCTGACCACGGGGTCAGGTGTGGAAGTCTGCAGTCACTGCATGCTGGGAAACTGCAGAACTGCAAGGACGAGGAGGTGATTCGAGCTGGGGAGAGAAGTACACGGGGTGGGGGCACTGATGGAGCCCACGAGACAGACTTTGGAGCCTGGGCTTGGGGTGCATGGCTTTCGACTCAAAACTGCACATCAGCAGAACCGGGGAGCCGTGCAAGAGCAGAGGTTTCTCATACAGACAGCAAGGACTCAGCTGGGGTGCTTCAGGGATCTGTGCGGGCAAAACAGGACTGCAGGACAAAGTGCACCCTCAGCCAGGAGGATGGGGAGAGGGCGGTGGCTGCGGAGTGAACATCAGGCTGGAAGATGTGGCTGGCACCGTGTGTGTGTGTGTGTGTGTGCTCACGCATGCGCACGCACATGCTTGGGGTGGCATCAGGAACTCAGGATGAGTAGCGGGACCCTTGGGAAGGAGCCCTCTTGGGCAAGGAAACAGCCTGGGCCTCCAGGAGTGCCCAAACAGCAGCCCCCTCCTCCATTTACGGGGAAGCAGGCACCATGGTGGGCTCTAGTGTCCAGACCGACAGTTGAGCCTGGGAAATGGGCCCCCTGGCCGACACAAGGTGGTAGCCCAACCGTGGGCGCAAAATCCCAGGGGCCACTCGGCCTCACTGTGCAGCCCTGCACTCGAGGCCAGCACAGCGAGTACTTCTGAGCCCAGGAAAGATGTAGCTGAAATCCACACGGGCAGGCTTATGGGCAGCGTCCTCACTCCTCCAGGGTTCTGCACTGCTGTCCAAAACCCTCTGCAGGCGCAGGCTGGGGCTGTGTGTCTGCCTCACCCTGGGCCCACCAGGACAGTTCCCTTTCTTGTCCACCTGAGGACAGCTATGCACCAAGAACACCACCTACCCATGGCGCTGGGCACAGACTGGAGGTGACAGAAGCCACAGAACAGAAGAGGGGTGGTCCCCAGCAAGCCTAGGGCTGCCCCGACCCGTGTCAGGGCACAGGCAAAGGAAAGGTCCAATAGTGCCCTTCTCCATATTTGAGAGTTTTATATTTTGTTCAGCATGGGTTGTTTCTGTATGAACTTAGGTTTAGATACACTCGCTGTGGGGCTGGGGTGCTTGCTTGTGCAGGCCTGGGGTTCCAATCCAAACCCCACAGAAAATAAACCAGCACGGGCCTGTGGGATGTGCGGAGGTGAGCCAGCGGGTGTCCTGGGCGGGCCTCGGGAGTGGGCTTCCAAGCTAACACACTACTCCGCAGGAATGATCCAAGAATCTTTAAACCATTAGACAACTCAAACAAAACTAAATTTGAATGCTGAAGGACCTCAATGTCTCAAAGACAGCTTGGCCCACCCTGGGAGAGCCAGGCAGCCCCCAAGTCCTCCTCACCCCAGGCGGGATGCAGTGTCTCTGGGAACATGGCCCAGGAGGGATGTCAAACACATGAGGCGTGGATCAGGTAGCCCAAGAGAAAATGAATTCAGAGAGTGTTATTGTTGTTTCTGAATGCATGTTAGGAATGAAAGATTTTTCTTTTTTTTAGACAGGGTTTTACTAAATTGCCCAGAGCAGCCTTGACTTTCCTGAGCTTGCCATCCTCCTGTCTCAGCCTCCCAAGGAGCTGGGATTACAAACATGCAGCATCTCTCCTAGCAGAAGTTAAGGATTTTGGCTATTGAGAGGAAGTGCAGGGTTAAATATGGCTGCTAGATCAGGAGGGAAATGCAGCGCGGAAATGCGACACAGGGCGAACACTCCAACTAGGGGAGTGGGGGAGAATAACTTGAAGAATGCAGCAGAACCAACTATAACCAGGTCCTGGCTTGAATTATCCCAGTTCCCAGAAGAAGCTGTCTGACAGGCGGGCAACTGTATGCTCTTTAAAAAAAACTTAAGAACCCAGACAGCAAAAGGACAAGAACAAAGAGTAGAAATAAACAGGAAAGAATGCCGTGGGCCCACGTGCAGGAAGGACAGCGGCCTCCACCCACCACCAAGCCTCAAAACCTCCAAGCCTGGGCCTGAGCCTGGGAGACACACAGTGGGTGCCGTGAGAGTGTGGCGGGCGGCCCACGCGGTGGATGCTGGCTCAGGGCCGAGGGTGTGCGGGGCCTGGCGGGCACCGGGCACTGGGCAAGGGCGGTCCCGTGGTGCCTTCAGTACAGGTCCCAGTGCAGCCTGGAAGGAGTGCAGGAAGGCACAGTACCAGCCCCCTCCACCCGGCAGAAGGGACGCGCAGAGCCACAGGGAAACTGAGGCCCAGAGGCCAGGGAACAGCGCCTGGTGGCCGCGCAGGCTGTGATCCCCCTGGAGCACCAGGGCCTCCCAACCCAGCCATCTCTGTTCCTGCAGAGCTCCAGGGCTGGGCAGAGCCAGGCTAGGCCATATCCAGCACAGGCTGACCCACCCTGCGCAGTGGCTCCCCAGGCTCCACCCGCTGTGCCCCTGCCTAGCCTGCCAGGGACACCCAGCCCTCGGGTGGCAGCCCTGCCCAGCCTGGGAGCAACCCACTGGTTACTTGTTAACATGAGGGCTATAAACAGGGCTCCAGGGGCCACCTCTGGACCAAAGGCCTCCTTCCTCCCTCAGCAGGGCGACTGACTCCTCATTCGCACATCCTCTGCCTCGGGCCAGGCGTCCAGCAGACCCCACCGCGTCATGTGGGCCGGCTGGTGGCTCTGGGCCCTGGTGGCTGCGTGCGCTGGGCAAACATATCGCCAGAAGGCAGAGACCATCATGCAGACAACGCCTGTCATTGACGGGTGAGTGGTGTGGGGCGGGGGGCTCTCCCGGGGCACCCTGGCCGCTTCCTGAGGCCTCTGGTGTCGGGCAGGGCTGTGGAGAAGGGGCTGGGGCAGCGTGGCCAGACCCCAGCTCCCTGTGCCCACCTCTCAGAGCCGCACCCCAAACTTCCTTCCCTGATAGCTGCAGGCAAAGGCGGCTTCCCTGTAGCCCGGGGGTCCCCCGGCTCTGCCCCCCTCCCTCTTGGGGTCTGTAGTGCCCCTAGCTGCCTCGAGCCACCTCAGATGCTTAGCTTCTTCTCCCAGCCCTGAAATCTGTCCCCCAGTGGTCACCTGCACCCCACATGGGCCCCTCTGGATGGCCCCACAGCCATCACCCTCTCCCTGCCTGCAATGGGGACCCTCATACCTGGCCCTCCTGCTCGGGGGACTATGCCACTTGTACCCCACCTTAGGTGCAGCGAGCCAGGACTCTGCACGCATCAGGCCCTGGGTAGGCAGGGCACTAAGGGCGCCGGGAGCTGTCGCTTGGCAGGAACCACCCCACAGTGCGGAGGAACGGCCCTGTGAGGAGAACAAGGGCCCTCACACCTACCTGGGCCCGGGCTCCTCCAGCCTCCCTCTCCCCCAGCTTTCCCACCTCCTGCTGGTTGTGAGGGTCAGGACTCCTCAGAGGCCACACCCTGGCCCTCCCAGAGCCCGACTGCAGGGCTGGCCCCACAGCCCAGTGAGAAGCAATGCAAGAGTTGTTGTGGAGCAGGAAGGCTGGCAGAGGCTCCTTTCCAGCCTGTCTGTGGCTCAGTGGCTGCCAGGCCTCGGGCTTGCCACAGCTGCATTGGCTCCAGCTATCACGTTGCCACCCCAGCTGGCAAGCAGGACAGCCACGTGCCAAGCAGCATTTCTGGAACCACAGGGCAGAACTTAGGTACAAGGCCAAGAATTTCCTTCATTCTAGGTAACCAGGTGTCCTGCCCAAAATGTGGGGTTTGTTACCAAGGAAAAGATAATGGAAGCTGCCAGCAGCGCCCCACGCTGGCTGGCCTCTTCAGCCCTGCCGAGGTCACCAGCCAGGCTACACAGAGGAGGGTGGAGGGGCTTGGAGTGTCCCTGCCGTGGCAGGGGGCAGAGAATAGAGTGCAGCTTCTGCCCACCCCCGGAGCCCCATCTGTCCCTGGAGAGGACACCTGTGTGCCCCTTCCCAGGGCCCCACCCTGATGAGCACGGAGGCACCCTTGGGTGAAGCACGCCCAGGCTCCTCCCCACCACCCCTTCACCCAGCCACCATCTGCTCGCTGTGCAAATGCTCCTGGTCAGCCTGTGCCAAGCACGGGGCCAGGCGGAGCCATCCCTCATGGAATGCTGATCTCAGAGCTCCTGGACGGTGACCCTGCAGCAGGCGCCCTGGTGCCCAGGGACCCGGTCGAGCTGGGCTGAAGCTTGTGCCTCTTGACTAGGCTGGGCTGGGGCTGTGCCACCCCGGTGGGGCCATGAGGCGGACCCTGGAGATGGGTGGGCATGGCCCAAGAGAGCCACAACGTTGTCACAGCTCAACATCTGGAGTTGGGGGCCCAGGTGCAGCGGCATGCCTGGAGCCATGGGGCTGCCCCGTGCGTGCGTGCGCCTCGGTGTCGCCACAGAGGCGGCTGCTTGGGGATGTGCATACCACACCCCCTGCAAGTTGCCACAGCGTCCCTGTGCCACAGAGGGGAAACTGAGGAACATGGCACAAGGGGCTGAAGTCTGAGAGCAGCCACGGATGGGTAGCTGAGCCCAGCCACAGGGCCTCCCGGCCACCCGACGATGCCCACAGCTCACTGCCCGGGCCCAGGGCATCTTCAGCCTTCCTGGGAGGTGCCGTCAGCCTGAGCCTGCATTTCCCAGGAGCTCCTGGTGACACCTAGCCTCTGCCTCTGGCGTGCGGGGCCTACTGGCAGCTGGGGCAGCTGCTGGAGAGGGCTTGGCTGCCAGGTCCTTTCCAGGCCAAGGATTCTCAGGAAGCTGCGTGCAGGGCTCTTCCCTCTGGGTGGGCAGTGGCCGCAGGGTGGTGTGCCCCACATTCCCAGCACCTGCAAGGGGTCCCTGCAGGGGTTCATCTAGATGAGCTCACTTGCTTCCTCCACCTCTGGGCAACTATGAGGGGAGCAGGTGCTCCCCCAGGAATCCTAGCCACCCCAGATGAGGTTACCAGCCAGGGGTGGGGCACAGTGGGTGTATAACACGCAGGTGTGGGGGGACAGGACAGCCCACACCCCACACTGGGTACCTGTGCCCCCAGGCACAATGACCTGCCCTGGCAGCTCCTGAAAATGTTCAACAACCAGCTGCACACGGGGGCTGACCTGAACACCCTGGCTGGCACGCACACCAACATCGCGAAGCTCAGGGCCGGCCTCGTGGGCGCTCAGGTATCCACGTTCCCTGTTGGGCACCACTTGTCCCAAGACTTGCCTCTGCCTGGGACACAGGGCTATGTGGGGGCTTGGCCCTCAGCTCCTGATGCTCTCCTATCCCCAGTTCTGGTCTGCGTATGTTCCCTGTGACACTCAGAACAAAGACGCTGTGAAGAGGACGCTGGAGCAGATTGATGTCATCCACCGCATGTGTCAGGCATACCCCGAGACCTTCATGTGTGTCACCAGCAGCACAGGTGGGGCCCTGGCTGGCTTGGACAGGGGTGGTGGTGTGGCATGGTGGGGATCTGGCCCCCTGGATGCCATGCCCTCCTCCCCTGCAGAAATCGAGCAGGCCTTCAAGGAGGGCAAGGTGGCCAGCCTGGTGGGAGTGGAGGGCGGCCACTCCATTGACAGCAGCCTGGGCGTCCTGCGGGCATTGTACCACCTGGGGATGCGCTACATGACCCTCACCCACAGCTGCAACACGCCCTGGTGTGTATGGGGAGCCCACACTCCCACGCCGCTCCCCAGGCACCTTCCTCTCACCCAGTGGGCCTGGGGCAGAGACCACTCACTCCACGTTCTCTATTCTACAGGGCTGACAACTGGCTGGTAGACACTGGGGAGGATGAGGCTGAGAGCCAGGGGCTTTCAGAGTTTGGGAAGGTGAGGGGGGCTGAGACCCCGGAAAGAAGGGGAACAAGTGCTGGGGAGCTGCCAGGCCTGTCCAGGGCTGCACTCACAGGCCTGCTGGTGTCCAATGCTGAGCCCCAAGTGGCCCCCAGTATTTACCTGCTGGCCCAGTTTCCCCGTGTCTTAACCCAGCCCTGTCACCACCATAGCGCGTGGTGAGGGAGATGAACCGCCTGGGCGTCATGATCGACTTGGCCCACGTGTCGGTGGCCACCATGAAGGCTGCCCTGCAGGTATCCTCAGCTCCCGTCATCTTCAGCCACTCATCAGCCTACCACCTGTGTGCCCACAAGCGGAACGTGCCCGATGACGTGCTCCAGCTAGTGGTGAGGCCAGCAGGGGGGCTGAGGGGAGGTGCTGCCCCTGGGGATCCCGGCCAACACTCAGCACCCCTCTCCTGAGCAGAATGCCACACGCAGCTTGGTGATGGTGAACTTTTACAGTGACTACGTGTCCTGCTCGAAGCAGGCCACACTGTCTCAGGTGGCTGGTAGGTGGGGGCACCCAGGGGTGTGGGGGCACCCAGGGGTGGGGGGGCAGGCCCTACCAGGGACCTCACAAACCGTGATCTCCTAGACCACCTGGACTACATCAAGAAGGTGGCCGGAGCTCAAGCAGTGGGCTTTGGTGGAGACTACGACGGGGTAACCAGGTAAGGGTCCCAGCTAGGGAGGGAAGGGCACCCTAGCTCTGGCCTCCGTGCTCCTGGCCAGTGGGCCCTCCAGAGCCCTGCTCGCTTGCCAGGCTGCCCGAGGGGCTTGAGGACGTCTCCAAGTACCCAGACCTGGTGGCCGAGCTGCTCCGGAGGAACTGGACTGAGGAGGAGGTCAAGGGAGTGCTGGCAGAAAACCTGCTGAGGGTCTTCAGGGAGGTGGAGCAGGTGAGCACGGCTGCCCGCGCCCAGGCCCGCCGGTGGGGCGCTCCCTCACCCTGTCTATCCACTCCCAGGTGAAAAACCTCTCTCGCTTCCCTGAGGAAGAGCCCATCCCTCAGAACATGCTGGGCGGCTCCTGCAGGACACAGTACGGCTACTCAGGGGCCCCTGGCCGCTTCCCCGGGCCAGGGGCCCTCCTGGCCTCCCTTCTCCTCAGCTGGCATCTTCTGTGATACCCAGGCGTCAGCAGCCGCCACGACCCCAGGAGTGCAGAGGAGGGGGCTATGTGGGCGAGGAGCTGGGTCCCAGGAACCTGCACCCACACAGGTGCGGCTCCCCAGAAGGGGCCTGGTGCCTGCAGTGTTCCCAATAAAGCCATGGCCCCTCCACCTCTGAGCTGCGTCCTGAGTACCCTAGCCCTGGAGGGTGGACTTAGGGAGGGCGACCCTAGGGGACACGGGGCCTGGGGATCCAGTCCTGGAGGCTGAGGATCAGGGGTTCCTACTGTGCTGGGACCGTAAAACACAGCCAGCTCCAGTGGCCGTACCCACACACACCCGCACGGCGCACCGTGGACAGAGTTCAGCCAGGACACACATGCACCTGTGCACGGCCTGCTGGTGCACACACAGCACACAGGGCCTGCATGGCTCCCACACGCCCCCGCAGACCTTGCTCGTGCGTGCACACCCCCACCCTGCCTTTGGACTGCATCTCTGGAGGGGGCCAGGGGGCCGCGTCTCCCTTGGCTGTCCCCATCAATCTCGTGTGGTGCGTGGCAGCGTGAGGCTCCAGCTCCAGGCTTCTCACACACCTGGAAGCTCCTTCAGACACAAGGGACACATGGCATCACCTTGCCATCCGTCAGTCTGTCCAGGCGCAGGCTCAGAGCCTTCCACGGAGCTGAGGGCATCCGGAGATGGCACGTGCGCCTTGGTCCACTGCCACTGCAGGTCTAGGTCGGAGCTGCTGAGCCCAGGCCACCTGGACATGTGGCAAGGCCTGCTCTGCCAACACTGCCCACTGGGCCTGTGGACACTGGTGGTCATGGGATGGGTTTGGAGTTCCATGGCCCAGGCCACTGACCACAGGGAGTGGGCACAGTGAGGCTCGGGGGCTGTAGAACAAAAACTCCATCCAGGCTCCTGGGGGGCTGGGCGGGCTACATCGACTTGCTACATGGGAAGGCTACCCTTCCCAGGAAGGCTCCGGAGCTGCTTTAGTTCAGCACAGCAGGCACCTGTGGCTGGACCACACAGCTATGCCTGTCTGGTGGTTCTGTGTCCCCTGTGGGGTGCTGAGGGCCCACAGCAGGGGCCAGGAGGGCTAGAGACCTGCAGGGTGGACGGTGAGGCCCAGGGAGGTGGTGAGGATACAGAGGTTGGGGTGCATGCCCCTGTGCTGAGCTGAAGAACGCACCGTCTGTGGAACAGTGTGAGCAAGGTGGAAGCTGGCTTAAGAAGCAACCCACTGTGTAACTGCAGCGCAGCTTTGCCTCCTCCCAGCCCTGGAGCTGGGCCCCAATCCCTTGCCAGCAGGTGGGGGAAGGCACCCTCTGCCCACCCAAGGACACCAAAGCAAAGCTTAAGTTTTATCAACTTATTTACTTCCAACAGCACTTCAGGACGAGGGCGATCACACTGCCCTCCTTGATGACGCCTTTGCACCCCACCCAGCCAGCATCCCACACAATACATGGGGAGTCTGGGAGGGCCACAATCAGACGACACCTGGACCCCACACCAGGACCACCAGTCCCCCTCCCCCACAACCCAGCTTGCAGGTCCAGACAGAAATAAACAAGCACAGCACATCTGGGAAGAGCCCATGCACTGGGCCACTTGGTGGACCCCATGCCTGCAGACCACCTGCTGTCTACTTTGGCAAAAAACAAAAACCCTGGGAGCTTCAAGACCATGAAGTAAACTTCCAGAAACAGGTAACAAGAAACTAAAAGAGCAGCCTGTGCCCAAAGCCCTCTCAGTCCGCCTGGCCGACCCTCGAGGGCAGGCCTCAGAGCCCAGGGGACACACTGCCATGGTCTGCTTCTGAACTGAGGAGTGGGCAGCGGCAGTGCAGACGTGTGGTGGCAGCACAGAGAGGCACAGGAAAAGAGAGGGGCTGCCACAGGAGCTCAGATTCCACCGAGCTCTTCCACACAGAGCTCAGCCCAGGGGCCCAAGGCACCTCCAGAGGGGCCACGGGAGGACAAGGGCCCAAGCAATGGCCCTGTCCCTGTGAACTGGGACCTGGGCAGCCACGGAGCCAAGGAGCAAGGCACCCCAGCACGGTGCTGGTGGCCCTGTATGCCCCTCACACACACAGGTTCTCCCCTTTCCTGCAGGACACTGGGGGCCAGGGAGCTGCCTGAAGGCGGGGCAGCCACAACCCCTCCAGCCCCGTACCAGCCGGCGCAGGGAGCAGGGGGTGGCAGTGACAGCCACAGCAGGGGTGCAGGAAGCCTACTGAGCCCATGCTGCTGGCCTGGTCACAGACCTCACGCGTCTTGCCACCTTGACTCAGAACACAGTCCCAGTGTCCAACCCAAGAGAAACAGAATCCGCCCAGGCTGTCAAGCCTGGCAGCCAGAGCAGGGAGGCGGCGACTGCAGCTCTGCAGGTTGAGGAGGGCAGGGGTGGGGACAGTGCCTCTGAGACATCACAGTGCAGGGCGTCACAGCATGGAGGGCAGCTAGTTCCGCAAAGCAGCCAACCTGGAGGTCGACACAAGGCTCAGACAGGCAGGGCAGGGTTCACAAACACTGCGCCCGTCGGACACGAGCCAGAGGCCAACGGGAGCAGCCAGGACCCCTCCCCAAGGGAGCCTCAGATGCACAGACCACATGCCACACCAAGTCCCCGGCCCAGCACAGGGCAGGGCCCCACCTTCGTGACAGCTGGTCCTCCTGGCTGCGCACAGAGCTCTCACCCACAGCTGAGGCGCCCTCGGGCAGCTGGCTGAGCTGGTCCAGCACCTCGAGCCCATTCTCCTCGGCAATCTGCACAATGAGGCTGTCCACCTGCTCCTGGGGCGTGGTCAGCGTGGTGGCTGAGCTCATGGAGTCCTCCATCACCTGAAGGGATGTTGGGGCAGTGGGGGCTGGGCCACAGAGACCCCAGAATTGTGGGGCTGCTTCCCGTCCCAGCTGAGGCTGCTGTGCCCAGCACACTTCATGGTTTGCGGAACTGGGGATTAAACTCAGGACCCTGCGCTCGCCAGGCAAGTACTTATCCTGCTGAGCCATTTCCCCGGCCCTCAGCACACTTCCCCTGTCCCCGCATCCTACCACCACCCTGCCCTGCCGCACTGTGCCCACTCCTTGGGGACACTTTGTACGTCATCTTGCGCTTGCACGCTCCTGCCCCTCCGCCCCAGCAGGGCCCAACTGAGCTCTGCTCAGAGGACCCCGGCGAGCCACCCTTCCTGCTGGGCCCCGCCGCAGGTCACGTACCGACGTGTGCACGTCCAGGTTTTGCACCTGCTGCTCGAACCTGTCCATCACTGCAGACACCTTCTGCAGGTCCATGGAGCTCAGGGCCTTGTCCAGGGCTTTGGTCACCTGGGCCATGTTCTTGGTCACCTGGGCCAGAGGGAGGGAGAAGGGAAGAGGGCCACCCACGGGCCGAGGTCCTGACTCAAGAGTGCCACAGGCTGAACGCACACGCACACAGACCAGGACGTGACCCCTGGGGCTGGAGAGAGCGCCATGGGCCTTCCCAGGGGGCCCTACCAAGGAATCGAGCTGTCAGGCGACCTGTGGCACATGGGCAGCTCTTCCTGAGCTAGGACCGCCCCTCCAGCCACCAGAGCCCTCGCAGCACTCACCCCCTTCATGGTCACAGCTGTCTGCACCTTGGAGGCTACCGCGTCCACACGGGATGCCATACGCAGCCAATTCACACCTTCGTTCTTCTTGCGGATGGCGTTCTCCGCATACACCCGGGCACACTCCACATTCTTCTGCTGCAGTGCCTAAGAGCCAGAGGGGCACTTGTGGGTACCTTGGCAGCCACTGCCCTGCAGGAAGCCTTGTGCTAGCTTCTGAGGGCCTCGCTTGCTGCTGTGGGGGGCCCTGCCGCCCTCCCAGGGTGCACATCAGAACATCTGAGATGCACAGGAGCAGATCTGAGGATGGAGGGTGGCGGTAGGTAGGCAGCCCGCAGGGGCTCCAGGCCCCTTAGAGCTCAGCCCAAGAGCACAGGGTAGCACGTGTGGCACTCAGCCTGTGATACGGCCACAGGGTGGGAGGGAGGCACGGGGAGGTGCAGAACACCTTGCCTCAGGTGGCAGGCAACTGCCTGCATCCTTCTAGCCCAGGATCCCTGAGCTTGGGTGAGGAGTCTCCAGACACGACCATGCGGTTCCTGCACCAATGTGGCACCACTTTAGGAGTCACACAACTTGGCTCACAGTCTGCGAGAGCAGCCACCCTCTTTCCTTCTAGTCTCTCCCAGCTGAGGCCCTGTAAGTCTCCTGTCCTGAACCTCTACAGGGCAGCCAGCACTTCTGCCAGACCCCAGTGCCCTGGGACCAGCTCCATAAGAGAGTAGGAAGCCCCTGCCCAACAACACAGGGCCAAGCAAGTCTAGGAGGTGGGAAAGGGGTGCAAGGACATGGAGAACGGGCTGAAGATGAAGCCCCCTGCTCCTGGGGGCCTGCGTGGCCCAAATCAGAACGGGAGCAAAGAACGTCCCTGGGCCAGGGGGTCACGCACCTTCTTCACCTTGGCCTGCTCAGCTTTGGAGTCCTTCTCCGCCTTCTTGGAGAGCTTCTCCAGCTGCTTTGCTGTGAACTGGAAGAGGCCACTCATCACCCACGTGCAGGACCCGTGCAGCCCTCTCCAGCCCATATCCAGGTCCCACCACTGTCTACGCCAGACCCTTCCTGTGTGTCCTGGCGCACACCCCAAGGCTGTGACAGCCACCACAAGAGCAAGTAACGCCTTGTCTCTGTGAGAACAGGGCCACTCAGCACTTCTAAAATTCTGTCCTCTCCATGAACACCCTGCTCTCACTGTTCCTCCCAGTCAGGTGACCCCCTCAGCTGCCCACAGAAGGGCTTTCGACTCAGAAGAAAATGGCGAGGCCCTGCTTCAGATAGCTGCAAGCAGCAGCACAGAGCTCAAGACAAAAACACTCCTCGAAGCAGACTTCACTGAAGACTGCATACCCCACTCCCCAAGGCCTATTTTTTGTTTCTGTTTATTTTTATGTATTTAGTACAGGGTCTACAGGGTCTCAACGCACAGACTGGACTCTTGGTGATCTTCCTGTTTTCAGCCTCCCAAGCATTGGGATTACAGGGTGTGCCACCACCACGCCCAGTCTTAGCTGAAGTCGCAGCATGCCCTGGGGGCGTGGCTGGCACAGCACAATGGGGATCGAACCCAGAGAAGAAAGCACCAGGTGCCTTTACAGACAGCACACACACATGCAAACACACACACACACACACACACACGATCGCATGATCAGGAGGCAGCACCCATGTCCACTTTGTGTGCTCCTGTTCCCCCAGAAGTAGAACCACCGACCTCCTGGGGGGCAGCCAAGGCCCTAACTGCTGGCTCCACAGAAGCCCGCCCCTGTTGTACTGACCCCCACAGGAAGTGGCAACAGAATCCCCAGAGCACCTCTGGCCACTCTAGTCTGAAGCCAGAGAGCGGCCCTAGCCACTAGCATTCACAGGCCCACAACTATGCAGGCCCCAACACAGGTTCCCCCACAATCACCGCTCTAGTGAGACATCTGCCCACAGCAAGATCATCTTACTGGGGTACCCTAAGGATATTCCAGAGCTACCTCCTATGGCTTGCAAACCTCCCTTCTCAGGAGGAGCGATAAAGAGGACCCTGGACGAGTACCTGTGGAAGATCTAAGGGAACGGCACAAGACAGGCACCGGCCTACTGGGCAGCCCCAAACACTACTCCAATGGTATGCTTCCAGGGATGTTAGTGGAGCCTGCAATCTCAGCCTCTGGGAGGAGGATCGTAAGTCCAAACCCAGTCTGAACAACTCAGTGAGACTCTGTCTCAAAGTTTAAATGGGATGCAGCTTAGGGTGAAAGCCCTGGGTTCGATCCCCAGTGCCACCACCAAAAGAAACACTCTATCAGACTCTTGGGGAGTTCTGCATCCTTTGCAGCCATCCGGGCATTGCCTAGACCTGAGCTGTGCTTCTGGAAGGCAATGCTCCTTCACAGAGCAACCTGAGCCATCCACCTCTGCTCGGGAACACAAGAGCCAACATGTCATGCAGCCACTCCATCCATGACCCTGCCTGGCTGGGTCAGCAATCTGAGCCCCATGTGGCCACTGCTCAAAGTTTACAATCTGTCCTCGACTTTGTTTCTCACGATCTGCATATGTCTGGGGAATTGTCCCACTTGTTTTCATTTGTTAACCGGCAGGGCAGGGCAGGGCTGGGCTGAACGTCCGCAGGCACATACCTTCAACTGGAACAGTGTATCTGCAAAGACAAGGAAATGGTCTGAGCGTTTTAAGAAACAGGATGAGTGGTGCTTCTCGTGAGATAACCTCGAAGGTCCTCGGGATGCTGGACGCCAGCACGGAGCACAGGTGCAGATGGCATCCACTGGGCTGCTGCTAGGCCTGGCCCCTCATCAGCCACAGGGCTCAAGCCAGCACAGACCCTGCCTGAACCCTTTCCTCATTGGGAACACAAAGGCTGGGAGAGGCAACACACAAGGGCTGCGTGCAGCTCTCCCTCACCATGAGTAGAGCCTGTGACAGTGGTATTCAATTAATGCCACTTTGCCCAGGACCTTGGAATTCTTTCACAGCTTAGCGTTTAGCACCTGGCGGCCTACTCTTTCATACTCTACTCTCCCAAAGGCCAGCGGATAGAAACGGCAAGGTGACAACCTCGTGGCCACCAGAGAGCTGGCCTGGTGCAACTGACAGTCCAAGGCACCGCATCAGGCTTACAGCATGTTCACAGCCCGCCCTGGACCGCATGGAGTCACGCATGGATAACTATACTTGCCACTCGTCCACCAAGACACAGGGCTGGGTGGACCATACCGCCCTCCGTCTACTAAACCCTGCTAGCCAGAAGGTTCACCCAGCAGCCCACATGCGCGCCAAATGTCTACACATGTGCCCAAGGCTCCCGAGTGACACCTGGGTTTCGGATGAGCCCTGCAGCATGCCTCTGAGCAGGTGCTGGTCAGGGGCAATGCTGGCTGGGACTCTGTCACTGGACATCTGGTGACACCATCTGGCCAGTCCCGCCTCCAGCCTCAGTGCTCTCATCTACAGGATGGCTCACAGACGCCTGACTGGGCTTAAGAAAAGCCCCCTTGAAGAGTGCAGTGAGCGGTGGCCCGGCTCACCCAAGCTTCCACAGGGCCAGGGAGGAGGTGGGCGTGGCCCACTCAGTCTGCCCTGAGCTCCAGTGCACATGGCCTTTATGACAATGACACGTTTCACAGCTATGTAGTTTTCAAAAGCCTTTTTAAAAATAAAAAGTGCAGGCCGGGGAAATGGCTCTGTGGAATAAGCGCTTCCCTGGCAAGCGCAAGGGCCTGAGGACAATCCCTGGTTCCGCCAAAAAATAATAAATAAATTTGTTTACAAAAAAATAAATAAATAAAAAGTGCATCACACAAACTTATCATTTTTGCAAATGGAGGCACCTTCATCTTGCCACTGATTTCTTCTAGTTCTTGGTTTTTTTTTTTGGGGGGGGGTTGCGGAACTGGGGATTGAACTCAGGCCCTTGTGCTTGCCAGGGAAGCGCTTATTCCACTGAGCCATCTCCCCGGCCCTGGTTCTTTGTTTTAAAAACAGGGTCTTGCTATGTATCCCAGGCTGGCCTTGGACTCCAGATGCTCCTAGCTTAGCCTCCCCAGTGCTGAGATTACAGGCGTGCCCTACTCCCAGCTCTTCTAGTTCCTTCGTATCCCCGAACTCTGAGCGCCTGGACAAGGAAGGGCAAAGGAGTAGAGAGGCTGGGGCGGCAGCGTCCCTAATCTGTCTATCTCCACGAGCTGCTGTAAAGCAAATTTGGGGCAGTAAGAAATTAAACAGCTTCTGATGACGCCATTCCCAATTCTTTGGGCAGTGTGCCGGGGTCAGGCGGTGCAACCGTCACCTTTTTGGTACCCTCTGGCCCCGCACTCCAAGGCCGCAGGCCAAAGATGACACCCGCTGTCCATCCACAGCAGGGAGGGCCGGGAAGGAAGACGCGAGGACCGAGGTCGGAGGAGGGCTCTAGAGTCCAAGGCCGGTCGGGATCGGGGAGGGACGGCTGTCGGGTCGGGACCGGGGCTCGGAGTCCACAGAGCCCGCCCGCGGCCCCCAGTGGCGGCGGCCCTTACCATCCATGACGGGTCCGGGAGCAGCCCTCGGAGCGGCGAAGCTACACCAGCGCTCCGACCAGCGGTACGCCGCAGGCACTTCCGGGGTTGCCGCCACTTCCGGTCACGCAGCTGCTCTCGCGTGAGGGCGGCGCTCGCCTTGGGCAAGTTGCTCCAGGTCTCGCGAGGCCTGCGGTTGCTGTGGTGACCGGCGGGCGTTGGGAAGTGGCGGGGTTTGTGAGTTCACCCGGTGGGCGCTGGCTGCGGAGGTTGGGGTCGGCCGTGGCCCGCGGGATGGTGGGCTCCCCTATGGGACTTTCCAAAAGCAAGGCCGAGTACAGGAAAGGTAACGGCATCGCCGCCGGACGAGCCCGCCCCACGACGGCCCGCCGCGGAGAGCTGGGCGCAGTCCGCCGGGTTGGGTAGGCTGTGTGTGGGTCTGACTCGTTACTCTTGCGTTGCAGGTGAGGAGCAGAAGAAGGGTTCTTCCCACTGTTTTGAAAAAAAGCCTAAGGACAAAATGATGGAGAAGGGGTCCCGGGAACCCAAACAAGCAGACGGGGAGGCCGGAAAGCCCGCGGACAGCCCTCTGGCGACGGTGGCAGCCGCGCACAAACCGCCGAGCCTTTCCTGGGAAGGTAGGAGACCCAGGAAGCTGCGCCGAAGCTGAGGCGCCCTGGGGTGGTGTGACCAGGGCTCGCGGTTTCTAAGACGCTGGTGAGACTGAGCTGGTGATGGATGGACGCCTGTAATCTGGGAGGCTGAGGCAGGAGGATCGCAAGTTGGAGTGCAGTCTGAACAATTTAGAGAAACTTGGTCTTAAAAAATAAAAACTGGCCTGGGGACATAACTTAGTTTGAAGGCCCTGGGTTCAGCCTGCAGTACTAAGCCCTCCCAAAAAGGCAGGAAGAAGCCCAAATATATATTTATTATGTGGGTTGAGAAGAAGACACTTTTATTTTTATTTTTTCTGTATTTTAGGGAAGAGTCTACAGGGTGTTCAGGGTCTCACTACTAGAACGGACTCGTAGCGATCCGCCTGTGTGTAATCCCAAGTGCTGGGATTACAGGCGCGCATCGCCAGCCTCCAAGCCCAGGCTCAATTGCAGCATCCCGGGGGGTGGAGCTGGCACTGGCAGGCCTGGGGATCAAACCTAGGACCCCTGCACCTGCCTGCAGGCGCTTTAATCCGCTGAGCTGTTTGGCCACCCGAAGGCACTGTTAGACATTTAAAAGGGAGATGTGGGCGAGGGGGGGTCTGTGCCTTGGAAAGGTCTTGCTGACTCCGGCACTAGAGCTGAGGTAAGCAGCTGCGCAGGGAGGAGCCCCATCCCCGGCCCTGGGCCAGAAGTGGAAGCAGGAGCTGGGCTCTGCTGAGAGGTGGGCCGAGGATGCCCTGTGGGGGGTCAGCTGTGAAGGAGTGACAGGGGAATACTGGCCCGCAGGCAACAGGGACATCTCAGACTAAATGCCTGTGGCATCTGTCAGGGGTGCCACAGGGGACAGCTTGAAATCCAGGCACTGGGCTTAGGTGAGAGGCCCATCAGTCAAGGCTGCAGGAAGGGCGATTGTCCCTGGGAGGGAAGGGAAGTGCTGCCCCACTCTCAGGGTGCATCCGCTGCAGTTCTAGAGAAGCCAACTGAGCGTTTAAGGTCTGAAAGGAAGGGGCAGAACCATGTCCAGAGCAGTTGTTCAGTGGCGCAGCCAACACTGAGGCTCTGCCATCCAAGGTGTCGGGTGTTTTTCTCCACAGCCTCTGGGGAGCCAGAGGGCCTTGGTGTTACACAACTCCAAGAGGGAGTGCTTCTCCCTGCCGCTGTGGGCCAGGCTGCCTTCCCTGGAGAGCTTCCCTGCCCAGCCCCTTGGGTGGCCACTGCCTAGCAAGTGCACGAGAGACCAGCAGAGCCATGCAGTGGGGAGGGGACAGGACCTCTGCCAGCAAAGCAGCTTTGGTCGCACTGTGTTGCTCAGGGTTGGAAGGTGGGCAGAAGGGAAAGCACAGCTTAGCCACACCCTGAGGCACATAGCTGTGATCTCAGAACTGGGGAGGCTGAGGCAGGAGGATCGCCAGTTTCGGGCACTACACAGTGGGACTCCAAGAGGTCGGGCTTTCTCCAGCAGTGGAGCATGTCCAGCTAGAACAAGGAACCACATCTTGCACTGTGGAGCAGCTCCCAGACTCCTCACACGGGGGTGGAGCCAGGGCCAGGGCCACACACATAAGTTCTCTCTGGGTGTGAATGTCCTGAAAGAAAGAGCAGTAGAAAGAAGCGGCCCACGGCCTGCTGGGGCGGGGTGGAAGTCGGGGTGAGCACCAGGCAAAGGGGACTTGTGATGGAAACGTTCTGAGAACTGCATGTGGGACACAGAAACGTCAAGATGTGCTGTGGACACACCTCGGGTCCCCTTGGTAAAGGTAAAAATGTGAAAGAACATAGTAACTGTGTGTGGCTGGGCACAGTGGTGTGCACCTGCAGATGTTCCTCAGGAGGTAGCGAGCTCAGCTAGGCAACAGGACGAGACCCCGGCTCCGGAGGAGCTGCATCATGGTGCCCATCTGAGGCTGGGAGCAGGCCGGGCCTTACCACCTCCAGTCCAGGGCCAGGCTGTGAGGCAGCAGGCTTGCAGGAGGCACCTTCAGCTGAGGCTGCTGAGGGTAGTGCCCAGTAACATCTGCCTGCAGCTGCTGAGACGCCCGCAAGATGCTCAGCCACATCTGTCCTGGGCTCCCAACCCATGCAGTTTCCAGGAAGAACGCTTGTTTTATGCTGCTGGGGTCTGGGTTGAGATTTTAGGGGTCTGGTTGAGAGGAAGCAGCAGGCCCAAGGTTTGTCCTGAGCCTGTCAGCATGCTGGCTGGGGTGGGACTGTCACACTGCTTACTATGTCTGCATAGTTCAGGGCTTTGCACTAGAGCCCTCAGGCATGCTCTGTAGAGATGAACACCACAGCCACGCATGGTCAGCCATTCTCTTCAAGACCCAAGGAAATGCTACTGGGAAAAAGAAAGAAATGCTACTGGGAAACAGTCCAGTTTCCGCTATGAATAAATGGCACAAAGAAAGGAGGGGTAGTTGTAATGAACCAAAATTTCAGGGTGTGAACCTTGTTTCTTATTTACGTTTTTTGGAGATGGTCTCCCTGTGGAGCTCCCTATGGACCTTGAACTCGAAGTCCTGCGCCTCAGCTCCCAAGTGCTGGGATTACAGATGCGTACCACCATAGGGCGGGTTGTCCTGACCGAGTATTAGATAACAATACAGAATTAGGCTAATTGTGTTAGATGTGACAATGCTCTCGTAGTTAAGCTAAAATAAAGTCCTTATCTGATAGATAGATATACTGTAATATATAGGGATAGAACTACATGTGTGACGTTTGCTTGAAAATACTGAAGAAATGCGGACAGCAGACACACCGTCGCAGCTACGTGGTGCACGTCCAGATGTCATAGCGTCCTGTTTTCACGGGTGTTTGGCTCTTTCCACAATAAGGTTGTTCTGAGGTAGAATATGCTCAGTTATAAGAGGATTTTTAAAAATAAGCTGGGGGAGGGAGGGAAAAGTAGAAGAGCGAAGGTGTGTTAAACACATGTCCCAACACCCTCTGATGAATGTAACCATGTACTGCAAACATGTATTAGCAAAATTTTAAAAAATTCAATAAACTAAGACATTCTGTGAGCTATTAACTCATTCTGGTTTTATTTTTTTGTTTTTGTTTTTGAGATGGAGTGTCACTTGGGCTGTCCTTGAACTCACCCCATAGCCCAGGCTGGCCTGGGACGCAAGGCCCCGCCTGCTCAGCCTCCGAGTGCTGGGATCACTAGCACGCACCGCTCCTGCAGCGGCTTCTCCGCCACTGAGTCGCTGTGGTGCACTCTCATGATCCTGCTCTTCGTCAGGCTGAGGCAGGAGGCTCAAGAGTGTGAGGCCAGCCTGGGAACTGTGAGACCCTATCTCAAAATAAAAATAAGTAAAAAGGACTGTGGCGGGGGTGTCCCAGTGGCAGCGCCTGCCTGGCGCAGGGAGGCCCTGGGTTCGCTCTAGCACTGAGGAAAAAGGTCTCGCTTGCGCCATTCAGTCGGTGTCTTGGCTTCTCTGGTGACAGGGAGGGAGGGCGGTGGATGGTGGTGTCAGGAGCTCTGGGTGGGCCCGGGGGGACTGTAGTTGCTGAGGGCAGCGAGGGTGTCCTGCGTCCTGCTGGAGCACCTGTGTGGGATCTGGGGCCCTTTTCTGTCCCCACACTGGCCATGCTGGTCCCTGTGGTTGGTCCCCATGTCCACGCTGCCCTGCGGTCAGTGCAGTGTGAACAAGGGTGGCAGGAGACGCGCAGGACCACCTGGCCTGCTCTCAGTTCAGCTTTCTATCAATGTGCACATTTTAAAAATAAATTTAATCCTGAGTTCAATCCTTGGCGCCACCAAAAATTTAAAAAATTTTAAAAAATAAATTTAAAATATCTCAAAAGTTGTGGGGTGGGGTGGGGAGATGGCGCAGTGGAATAAGCACTTCCCTGGCAAGCGCAGGGGCCTGAGTTCAATCTCTGGTTCTGCAAAAAAAAAAAAAGTTGTTCTAAATAAAATGTCATTTCAGCCTGCAATGACTACGCTCAGGAGCCGGAGGCAGGCAAGGCCTGGCTGAACTACGCAGTGAGACCCTGTCTCAAAAGAAAGTTAAGGGGGCTGGTGAGATGGCTCAGTGGGCTAAAGCACCTACTTAGAGCAAGCTAAGCAAAACACAGGGACCACGGTTCAATCCCCCAGCCCCACATGCCAGCCAGCCCCGCCCCCTGGTGGGCTGAACTGGCCACACACACACTAAATAAATATAAAAAAAAAAAAAAAAAAAAGAAAGTTAAACCTCCTTCAGGTCCCCTGTAAACAAATGCAAAATGGCCAGAACTATTTGTAACATCTGCAGGAGACTGAAGAGCAGCGTGCACGCGGACCCCGCTTGGCTCCAGCCCAAGGGGAGCCGCAGCTTCTGGCCGGACCACACACAGGTGCACTCTGCCACCTCGGGGGTGACGAGGACCCAGCCACCCGGCCCGCCCACGCCTGGATTCCTAGTCCTCGGGAGCCAAGAGTGAACTGGCACTGAGTCAGCCACTCCCTGGGTTTTGTGGTCGTTTGTGGACCGGGAATAGAAAATCAAGCCAACGCAGCATGCTGGGGGTGGAGCTCAGTAGTCGACTGCTTGCACAGTGGCTGGAGGCCCTGGATTCAATCCAGCACGGCGGCCAGGTGTGGGAGTGCACATCTGGATGCCCAGCACTATGGGAGGCTGAGGCAAGAGGATCACAAGCTTGACTCTAATTTGGGCCTCTTAGTGTTCAGCCCATAGTAAGACCTCGTCTCAGAAATGTATGAGCTGGGGCCAAGGAGATAGCTTAGGGGACTAAGAGCCTGCTTAGGCAAGTGCAGGATCTGAGTTCAATCCCAGGCACCACATGCCTTGCCAGCTCCACCCCCAGGCTTGCTGAGCCAGCCGCCAAGATGGGGTGGTGGTGCACACTTGTAATCCCAGCACTGGGGAGGGTGAAAACAGGAGGATCACTGGGAGTCCAACCTGCATAGTGAAACCCTGTATCAAACACATTAAAATGAAATAATAATAAAAAAGATGTCCTAAGAACCCTAAAAGTTACACATTTTTAAGTGATTAAAAGCGTTGTCTACCGAGGCACCACATGCCGTGCTGGCCGGTCAGGCATGCTGAGCTGGTGACGAGTCTGGGCGTGATGGGGCACTCCCATGATCCCAGTGCTGGGAAGGCTGAAAACAGGAGGATCACTGGGAGTCCGAGCTGCACAATGAGACCCTGTATCAAATACGTTAAAAAAAAAGTCTTGTGTAGGACCAAGAAGGCAGCTCAGTAGCACGGTGCTGGCCTGGCTAGCGTGAGGTCCTGAGTTCAATACCTGGTTCACAGAACAAGGTTGAAAAATCTTGTTTGGACTAGAAATTTTCAATAATGTGAAAGTGTTCATTCTGTTAATCAAACTCCAAAACCCCCAGGTCCATGGGGGGGGGGGACCGAACCGGACTGCTGAGATAACATTTGGATGTGTGCTTTGTTGTTGTTGCTGTTTTATGTGGAACCAGGGATTGAACTCAGGCCTTTGTGCTTGCCAGGCAAGCACTTTTTCTATTGAGCCATCTCCCCGGCCCCTGAGATAACATTTGGGAGCAGGCTGGGGAGACAGCTCAGAGGTCTAAGCAGGCCTAAGTGCCTGCCTGGCAAGCGCAAGGACCCAGGTTGGATGCCTAGTACCAGGCATGGTGGTGCACACCTGTGATCCCAGTGCTGGGGAGGCTGAGACAGGAGGATCACTAGGAATAGGGAGACCCTGTACCACATACATACATACATACATACATACATACATACATACATGAAAGATTTTAAAAATGCTTCCACAGAAATCTGGGAGCGGCAGCAGAAAGGGGGTGGCCAGGGCACATGGACCTCAGGGAGCCCTGGGAGACAGAATGGCTGGGGCTTTGATGTGTTAGGATGGAATGCGTGGTGTCTTTACCTCAGCCCTTACTTAAAAAGTCAAAAAGTTTAACACAGAAAATAAAACTATATTAAAGTACTGAATGAAAATGGTTAAATATTTTGTCAGTTTAGAATTGAGAATGCCTTTCTCAGTCTAAATTAATACATTTTTGGGGTGCTGGAAATTGCACCCCAGGCCTCATGCATGCCCTCCACCAATGAGCTGTACCCCCAACCTGATAGTCTTTACAGAAAACAATTTGACAATATCAACCGAAGTTTGAAAGCATTTATACCATTTGACCCAAAAGTTCCACTTCTAGGGATTTACCCAAGTGGTAAACCCTTGTCGTGTGTAAATACATACATGTGGTGAAGCCAGGAACGGTGGTGCATGCCTGGAATCACAGCCTGGGAGGCTGAGGCAGGAGGGTCACTGAGCTTGAGGCTTGGCTGTGCTACAGTGAGTTCAAGAACAGCCTGAGGAGAAAAGCAATAAGCAATGAAAAGGATTTAAAAATTGGAAACAAGGGCTGGCCAGATAGCTCAACAGATTAAAGCATCTGCTTAGGCAGTGCAGGGACCAGGCTTGATCCCCGGAGTGCTGTGCTGTCCTGCCCTCGGGCATGCTGAGACAGCGACTCAGACTCCGTGTGGTGGCGCACGCCTGTAATCCCAGCTCTTGGGAGGCTGAAAACAGGAGGATCACGAGTCTGATCTGTGTAGTGAGACCCTGCAGACCCTGAGCTAAATAGATAAAAATAAAAACAAAAATTGGAAACAACCTACACTCTGCACACTGAAGAGAGCTGGGTGCAAGGAGGAGCCTTCTCCCACCCAGAGGGGCCACTGGTGTGCAGATGTCAGACACAGTCCCGCCACAGGCTGGGTGGAAAACACCCTTCTATACTGTGTGGGCGGAGGTACCGAAAACATTTGGAAGGTGTGCGCTTTAAATTTTCTAACTGCATGTGTTGCAGTACACAATTACACTTATCATGGGCACTTGGTCCATGTGCATGTTCAATTTTTTTTTTCAATCCAGGAGATTATTTATTGTGGAAAGGCAGTTTCTTTGAATATTGCAGAGAACAGGCAGCTGGAAATGTGGTTCACAATTCAGCCACTACACTAGCTAGGCTAACTGGGGAGGCTGCCTTAGCGAGCACAACCTACTGACCTTTGCATTGCAACTACGCGAGCAGCTAAGAAAGCGGCCACGAGGGCCTGCGGGAACTCCCTGGTAAGAGAGAAACACTCCTTCACTTAGGAGCTCCGTTAGGCAAGAGCCTGACGAACCTTCCCAAGACTTTGCTCAGGTTTGCTGCAAGCTACTGAGAGGATTATCAGTGACACAGAAGCTAGCAAATTAACAGTTCAACAACTGGCCTTCGAAAATGCAATTAAACGATGTAGAGAGGCTTTAAGAGCCAATAAACAGCAGGCTCCAGTGCCCGACGTGATTCGGATGTGTGGACATCGGCCCCTCGTGCGTACAGGGCGCTGCCTTGGCAGCAGCTATTACTCAGGCTACTCGCAGGACATCGCTCGTGAAGCTGTTCTGCCGACCGAAGACAACACAGCCAGTATCCGTCTCTTCCATAAAGCCCATGTCCTGGATGTGCACAAGGGAACCGCTGGGCAAGGGCTGTAGATCTATCACTGACGTGGAGGGCCGGCCATTCAGGGAAGTTCCTGGGGGGCCTGCCCCGGCCCCATCAGATAACGGGGTGCTTTCCCTCCCCCCGCCACAAGCAGCTTTGACCTTTGGGGAGCAACAACCGACAGCAGAGGCCTGGGCCTCAGTCTGCCGCCACGTTCCTGCCGCCTCCTGACACGGGGCCCAGGTTAGTCCTACCGGGGTCTACGGACCTGTGCTTCAGGGTACAGTGGGCATCTCGCCAGGCCACCCCTGCGCTTGCCAGGAAGCACTTACTCTACTGAGCCACTTTCCCGCCTAACACAACAGTCTCCTTTTAAAAGGTCTCTGGGGCGTGCCTGGTGTAACCGGTGCTGACCATACAGGAGAAGTCAAGGTTATTCATCTACCCAAACGATCGCTCAAATCACTCCAGATACTCCTGTTGCTCAATTGATCATTTGTCCTTTGGAAAAAATTGGAAAATTTATAAATAAGGGAAAGCAATTCAAGGGTTTTGGGTCTCCTGACACCTACTAGATTCAGCAGATTAAACGAAATTGCCTGGAGATGGAGTTGACTCTACAAGAGGCATTTAAAGGGCTCCTGCACACGGGTGCAGATGTGTCAGTTATTGTCAGCACCGCTGGCCTGGGGCGTGGTCTCTGGGTGTGGCCACTGCAGACTGACCAGGGTGGGCAGGGTTCGACCACGTTCAACTTTTAAGTCAATATCCATTACTTTTATGATCTATTTGTGAGACAGGGTCTCACTAAGTTGCCCAGATTGGCCTCAAAGTTGTGATTCTCTTGCAGGTGGGTCTGCAGGTATGTGCCACTGTGTCTGGATTTATTAATTTAGGATTCTTTTTGCGGTTCTCAGGATAGAACCCAGAGGTGCAGACCCTACCACTGCATATCTAGTTTAATTAAAAACTCTCATAACCTTCTCACTAAATGTGCAGCTCAGACGCGCAGGGTCCCTCCTGTCTTCAGCGTTCCCGGCACTGGGATGGCAGGTGTACAGCACCATGCCCAGACTTGGCGGCTGGCCCAGCATGCCGGGGGGCAGGCCTGGCGCAGCGTGCGGTACCCGAGATGGAATCCCAGTCCCTGCGTCGCCTAGGCAGGCACGTAGTCCACCGAGCTATCTTGCCAGCCCCATTGATAACCTGTTGTTTTTATTGTTCTTAATTTATTATTATTATTGTTATATTTAGTGCAGGGATTATACCCTTTTAAAGTCAACATAAGATGATTTATAATCAACATAAAATGAATTTGCCAACTTACTGTAAATACAAAAGACAGTGAAATATGATTTTTGGCTCTGTATAGACAGAAAGGACAGCCCCGGGCCGGACACAGGCCATGTGCATCTGCGACGCATGGCTAGCCTGAGGACTCCCCTGCCTCCCTGAGGTCTGGTCCCGGGAGACACTTAGCTCCTTGTGCCTCTGTGCACGGGGCTCTGTGCTGGTTACCGCAGAGCGCAGAAAGGCTGGCACAGACGCAGGGCACCTTGCGCGAGCGGCAGGGCTGCCTCAACTTAGGCAGAGCACTCACCCCGCCAGGCTGGGCCCGGGTCCATCTCACCAAAGGCTGTTCACCGAACTGTGTAACCCGCCCCTGCAGGCTCACTCCAGGGATGGGACTAGCATGCTGCACAACTGACCTGTGCAATTGTATTTTTGAGACTTTTCTTAGATTTTCTTGCAGGGTCTTGCTATGTAGTTCAGGCTGGCCTCAGGATCATGGTTCTCCTGCCTGAGCCTGCAAAGTGCCCGCACAGCCAGCTATGACTGTGTTTTTGTAAAGCATGAGGCTGTGCTGACAGAAGCCAGGGTGCCCCCCGCCCCATCCTTGGTCCCTCCCAGGTGGTGGCCTCAGTGCTGCACAGGGCTGACCCACTCCCCGTAACCCCAGTAAATTCACAGAAACATAGGCAACACCAAAGATCTGTCTCTAGAGCTTGCAGTAGGGCATCTGGTAGCATCTGGGGGTGAGGTGGGGATCTGACCAGAGCGAGAACCCTGGGAACCTGGGCTTGGGGACCTGCTGTCCCATCAGTCACTGCAGCCAGCCTGTGGCACACGAGCTCCTCACAGGACCGCAGATGCACTTGGCTGTGCAGCGGGTCCTGCTGACTCAGGCTGGCTCTTCTCCTACCAGGACATGGGCTGCACCATGGCAGATGCGCCCCCATCCTCTACACTGGATCTTAGCCAAAAGGCCGAGACGCGACCCTAAATGCCTGGGTGTTTTCTTCCTTCTAGAGAAACTCAACGCGAAGCAGAAGTCAAGCAAGAAGAAAATGGTCATTCCACAGATCATCATCACTCGGGCCTCCACCGAGAGCCTGAGCAGCTACAGTTCTCTGGGGAGCGAGGAACAGAGGACCATTCAGGAGCAGGCCGACTGGGGCCCCTACTCTCGACACAGGAACCCCAGCACTGCTGCCGCCTTTAGCCCCCAGATCAAGGAATAAATGCACCAGGAGCTGCGTGTGCACTGAGCCTTGCTCTGCCCCCTGGGGAGTCCACTATGGGGCCCGCCACCGTGATCTGGTCCTACAGCAAGGAGCCCAGGAGCGCCTATGAGAGCGGGCCAGTACAGCCCATGGAGTGGCTGCCTGTGCACAGCCCAGCATGGCAGGGGCCCTGTCTGCTGCTCTCTAAGGGAATGTGGGGCAGTGCCTGGAGGTCACAGTGAATGCTGGGCTCCAAATCTGGGGGAGGTCAGAGTCTGAGGACTGAGCTACATGATGGCTCAGGGCAGGGGGTGCGAAGTCACCTCACACTGGAAAGGGCTTTCAGCTGACTGCGAGCTGACCCAGTGTACTGAGGCCCAGAAGAGCCAGGTGTGCTGGTGCATGCCTGCAACCCAGCACTCTGGGAGGCTGACGTGGAGGAATGCAAGTCCTAGCCCAGCCTGGGTCCTGGGTGACTTAGTGGCTTAGTGAGATGCGGTCTCAAAAAAATAAAAATAAAAGGCTGGAGATGTAGCTCAGTGTGCAAGCCCTGGGTTCAGTCCCTAGTACTGCAAAAGAAAGAAAGGCCTGGAATAATATAAACTGCATCTGAAGGAGGGCAGCCAGGGCACCTGGGCTGCAGGAGTGGCTTTGTCAGTGCTATGTGCTCTGGCTCCACAGACCAGAGGTCTCTAGGGTGGAGAGCCAGCGGGGTCCAGTGTGACACCATGGAATAGCCTCTGACAGTCACTCACTGTAGCCTTTAGGCCAGGCAGCTACAGAAGCCCTGCACGCCTATCTGGTGTACACATGCACACACATACCCACTCTAGACGCATGCGCTAGCACAGGCATACGCAGTCCTACCTACTACATACAGTGTGCTAGCTAGTAATTCACACATATGCACACAGTCCTGTCTAGTATATACATGCCTACATGCAGTCCTACCTCGTACGCGCACAGAGATACAACACTCAGCACATACACACAGTCCCACCTAGAATACAGAGATGCAGCAGTACCTAGTATACAGTCCTGCTCACGCACACACAGTCCTACCTGCCACACACCATTACCGAGCTAGTAATTCACACACAGACCTACGACGCTCCTGGAGTCCTAGCTAGTACAGTTCACAGTTCTGTCTAGTACATACACAGTCCTTCCCACCTTGTACTAACACATGCAACCCACATATCTAGCACCTACACACACATACACAGTCCCACCTACTACATAGAGCCTGCCACATACACAGTCCTACAGCCATGCAGTCTATGTATCTAATACACAGACATAGTCCTCTAGTACATACACAAGTACATGCAGCCCTATTTAGTGTATACACACACACACGCCTACCTAGTACATACACTCATGCATGAGTCCTACCCACTACACACACACACACACAGGCCTACCTAGTACACACACATAAAGTGGTATCTAGCACATACATACACCCAGTTTTATGTAGTATGCATACAGAGATGCTCCCTTGCTTAGTACATGCATCACTGCATGTAATCCTGTCTCGTGCGTGCATGCATGCATGCCGTCTTACCTAGTACACAGATGCATGCATGCAGGGCTCTGCAGTCACACATACATACATACATACATACATTCCTACCTTGTTGGGCAAGCTCACGGTGCCAGCCACAAACAAAGACACACGGACACTTGACACAAGCCAGGCCAGGGCTGGAGCGAAAAGGCTGCCTCCCACTTGGGCTTTGTTTTTATGTACCTCGAGTCTCAGCCTTCTGTTTAGTTGAAGTGAACTTAACAAGATCCCATCCTGTGTGTCCAGGACTAACGTTTAGGCTGTACGTGAGAACCCGCTAGGCATCTGGGAGCAAGGACACAAAAACAGGGCGTCCTTGAGTTCCAAGTGTTCTTGGTTACTCCCACAGCTGTGGCCGCCCTGTTTTCATTTTTCCTTGTCCTACATGCCCTGCAGGTTTTTTCGCCTGTCTCCGTATTAACTCTTTCTTATCCCAACACTACCTCATAATACACACATAAATGGAGGACTATGTAGTACATAACATGCATAGAGTTCTATCTCATACATGATATATGCAGGCCTGTTACTTATTTATATCTATATGTTCCTGTCTAGTCCATACACATATAGTCCTATGTAGTACATAGATAAAACCCTTCTACACAAAGGCAAGCCAACCTAGTAACTGTATACATGCAGGCAAGCATATAATAGAGATGCTCTGTATTAGAGTGAAACATACATGCGCATGCACACCTATCTAGTATATACATATACACAAATAGGCCTAGCTAGTGCATGCACACAGTCCTTATGCATTTATACATATAACCTAAAGGATGTAGTATGGCATGAAAATACATTGTTTAAAGATTTTTGCATGCTTTACACTGCCCACAGGCAGGTGCAAGCAATCTGGCAGAAGCCTATTTTATTTTTTGCTTTTCTGAGATAGGCTCTCCTTTTGCAGTGCGTGCAGGCTAGCTTTGAACTCACAATGTAACCGGGCCTGGCCTTGCACTCACGGCCTCAGCCTCTGGGCGCTGTGGTTACAGGCCTGTGCCAGCAGAAGCCTTAAATGTGCATTACTTAAACAGTTTTTCAGACACAGGGTCCCACTACGTAGTCCAGGTTGGTCTCAAACATCTTCCTGCTTCAGCCTCCCAAGTGCTGGGATTAGAGGCATCATGGCATCATGCCCTTCTCGTCTAATTACTGTATTATTTATTATTTTTGTGGTACCGGGGATTGAACTCAGGATCCTGCGCTTGCCAGGCAGGCGCTTATTCAACTGAGCGATCTCCCCGGCCCAATCTAATTATTTTAGTTGTTGATTTGCTACCGAAAACCTGCTTTGCACTCACCTAAGTGACTGGAGCGCAGACAGGCCTGTGTTCTGGACTTCTGGGAGCAGGCACAGGCCAGCTGCCCAACCCTGACCTCAGCCCTCCCCATCACATACACCTACTGAACTCAGCGCCCCCCAATGCTCGAGTCTCCTGAGGGTCCAGCGGCCCACTTCCTACTTCCCGCCCAGCAGTCCTCCCAGCTAGCTCGGAGCCAATCAATCAGCTTCCAAACCTGGGGGGCAAATGTGAGAGTGGAGAGGGAAGACGAGCTTGCGACTCTTGATCCCCGGCCCACCCCCCCAAGGCCCCAGCCTGGCTCCCGCTGGAGATGGGGGCTAGGCGCACACAGAACTCTCCTCCGCACAGGCTTTCAGGTCGTCGGCAGCTGCCACAACATAGCTCTCATTTGTAGCTGTCTCGGAGGACCTTGAAGCACTGGGACTACTGCTGATCTGCGGGACTCGACCTTGTCACTCGTCACATCTCCTGGAAGCTACTAGCTGTGACGCCCGCGAGGGAGAAGAGGCCAGGAGGCAAACCGGCTTCTAGCGGGTCTAAAGCAACCCCAGCGTAGTCTAGGCAGTTGTTCGAGCGGGGGTGGCCGTGCTTTACTTCAACAGAGAAAACAACGCAGGAGACTCGACGTCCTCGCGACCTTCCTCCTCCGGGCCCCGGCGCCGGCCCCAGGGCGGGGCGGAGCTCGCCGCACGGACACCGCGGGCGCCGCGGCCCTCGCGCCTGCTCGCTGGCCGGGCTCGGCTCGCCCAGGACCGCAGACAGCGCTTCGTCTGCCGCGCGGCACAGGAGCGCCCACGCCCGCGGCGGCCACGGCCCGCCTCCCGCCCCGAGAGTCGCCTCGGCCTCCGCTCCCGTTTCTCCGAGGCCGGAATCTTCCCTAGTGCGCGTGGACGCCGGAGCTCCCGCGCTGAGAGTCCTTAGTAACCGTTGCTAAGGACCAGGCAGCCGGAAGTGGGTCGTGCGCCGGCGTACTCGGAGGGCGGGGCGGCGCGAGCATGGCGGATGCGGACCCGGAGTCGGAGCAGATCCGCCTGAAGTGTATCCGTAAGGAGGGCTTCTTCACGGTGCCTCCGGAACACAGGGTGCGATGGGGTGCTATTCGCGCAGCGCTGCCCGCCTCGCCCCCCGCAGGCTGGACGGAAGCGTTCAGGGAATCGGCATTGCGGCTTACCGTACTGGCGGGAACGACAGTCCCAGAAGTCTTTGCGGCTGGCGCGCGGGGCGGGGCGGGGGGCGGGGCGGGGCCACAGTGCTCTAAATTCGGAACTCCTTGGTTTTGCAAGAGCGGCTGTGTCGGATGGGAATGTGCCCTGAGAAGAATTGGAGTATCCCTGATCCCAGCTACCCTGGAGGCTGAGGCAGGAGGATTAGACAAGAAAGAGACCTTGCCTAAAAAAAGTAAAGCAGGCTAGCTGGGCGTGGTGGCACACGTCTGTACTCCTAGAGTTTTGGAGGCTGAGGCAGGAGGATGGCCACGAGTTCCAGGCCGGCCTGCGTTACATAGTGAGTTCGCGGCTAGCCTTAACTGCACAAATCCTGTCTCAAAAATACAATGAAACACGACTGAAGATGTACCTCAGTGCCCAGTTCTTGCTTAGCTTGCTCAGGCGGACTTCAATGTCTCCAGAAGGGACTATGGAGGCCGAAGACTCCACTGCACACGTGGAGCAGGGATGGGAGGAGTGCGTGGGCCTGAGGGGCTTCTCCTCACGGGAAGGGCCCCAGGCTGGCTCTTGGCATCAGCTTTGGCGAGATGCCCCTCCCGCTGGGGAAGGATGGTCCCGGCTGCTGCGCGCCCCCATGGTAGCACCTCTCTTTCAGCTGGGACGATGCCGGAGCGTGAAGGAGTTTGAGAAGCTGAACCGAATTGGCGAGGGCACCTATGGCATTGTGTGTGAGTGGCGGACGCTGGGGCCTAGAGCGTTGGGTGGGCTTCCACTAGTACTGGATGCACTGTCACCATGCTGCCGCGCGGGGCTGGCCGCGGCCCGGTCCTTGTAGTCCCGATAACTCCGTGTGCTTCACAGCCTGTCCTCAGGACCTTATCCTGACGCAGCCGCACCAGGCTCATGCAGCGACCTGGGGGACTGTGAGTCATTCTGCCGAGTCCTAGAAGCAGCAAAAAGCGACAAAATGCTTTGTGGAGCCATCTTTGCACAAATAAGAGTTTTTTGTAGATCAGTAAGCAAGCCCAGAGCAGCAGTGAACACGCTGAGGAGGAGAACACGCAGGAGGCTCTGAGGCCAGATCCAGCGCACAGGCCCAGGCTGGGCATCCTCGGCCCAGCCTGCGTGAGAGGACGCTCTGGGTCGCTTGTGGCCTGAGCTGGGGATCTCTGTATGCAAAGCAAGGACTAAATGTCATGGGGCCCTAGGTTATCAACAGAAGGGGCCCTGGGCAGCTCAGGGTTCTTTGATGGGGCCCAGGGTAGACTAGTCTAGATGGATTCCCATTCTAGATCGGGCCCGGGACACCCAGACAGACGAGATTGTTGCCCTGAAGAAGGTGCGGATGGACAAGGAGAAGGATGGTAAGTGGAAGCAAGGGTGTGGACCATCCTAGCTGGACTTGCATACAGGTGTGGTAGGGGCACGTTTCCTGAGGTTTTCTCTGTACTGACCCTCCACAGGGTGCTTGCATGGTGGTGAAAGGGCACCTGTCACCCCATCTGAGCCTCAGTTCCCCAGCCCTGCTCCCTGCTTCTGGGTCCTCTCCGTACCTGCTGTCCTGTGGTTGCCATGACTACCCCCTTCTATCCCAGCTTAGCTGTCTCCCTGGTGCCAAGCTCCAGTCTGCACTACGACCTCCAGGGTGCACTGTCACAATAGTCCTGGGCCTAGAGAGGTGCTGTCTGGAGGGTTAGGAGTGGTGCTGGGGATAGGGTGTGTGTGGAGACCAGGCACGGGTGACAGACTTGGCTGGCTCTCTCCTAGGCATCCCCATCAGCAGCCTGAGGGAGATCACGCTGCTTCTGCGCCTGCGCCACCCGAACATCGTGGAGCTAAAGGAGGTGGTGGTGGGGAACCACCTAGAGAGGTGTGCATCCCTACTTACACCCCAGGTGTCCAGAGGCCTGGCCCCATGCGCCAGGATTCATGGGCGGCAGCATGGCTTTGTCCTGACCTTCTCTGTGCAGCATCTTCCTGGTGATGGGTTACTGTGAGCAGGACCTGGCCAGCCTCCTGGAAAACATGCCCACACCCTTCTCTGAGGCCCAGGTATGTGGTCTTGATAGGAACCGTATGGCCTGTGGATCTACTTGAGTCCGGGGAGCTTAAGAATGTGGAATCACTGGGGGCCAGGAGATGGCTCCGCAGAAGCAAGCACAAGGGTCTGCGTTCAATCCCTGGTTCTGCCAAAAAAAAGAACGTGGAATTATCTACGGGCACACGTGGGGCACTGGGAACCTGCAGCAGACAGGTCACTGAGAAGCAGAGGGGACAACAGGACTTAACAGCCACAGCAGGCTCATGCAGCTGCCTTGGGAAGTAGCTGTGGGGTCTGGTGGCCAGTACTGATGTGTTACGGCTGGGGTCCATCTTGGGCTGCTGTGATCACCGCCTCTGTGTTCACACAGGTCAAATGCATCGTGCTACAGGTGCTCCGGGGCCTGCAGTACCTGCATAGGAACTTCATCATCCACAGGTGGGCAGGGCTCTGTCGGATGGGTGGCCTATGCTCTGGGCCATAGGCCTTCCAAGTGCTACAGGACAGCAGTGGACACCTGGCATTCCTCTGTGGGGAGGGTCCAGGACTAGTCGAGTCCGAGAAGCTCTGGGGTAGCCCTTGTGCTGTGGCCTGGAGAACTGGGTAGTGTAGACACCCAGGTCTGGGCACTTGTAGGTCTGCTTTCTTTGCTGTGTGTCCTTTGCCACACCTGACGCTGACACACTCAGGACCAATTGTGAGCACCGTAGTAACAGTCTCATCTAGTGCCCCGTAGGCTCACTTCCTGGGAGCACCAGACTTCCCTTTCTGTCAACAGGGACCTGAAGGTCTCCAATCTACTCATGACTGACAAGGGCTGTGTGAAGACAGGTAGGTGCCTGGCACTGGCCTAGTGTGCATGGAGGAGGTGGGGTGCATGGAGGAGCTCTGGACCCCCTCAGCCTTCCCCTCTCTGCCTCTCTGCAGCGGATTTTGGCCTGGCCCGGGCTTATGGCATCCCAGTGAAGCCAATGACCCCTAAGGTGGTCACCCTCTGGTGAGTCCCTTGGAGACATGGGGGCCTGGGGTGGACAGCTTGAATCTGTAGGCTTCTGTAGCTGGTCTCTCTCCCTGGGAAAGAGCGACAGGCTGCAGTCCCACAAGGCCTGGCCTTGTCCTGATGCACCAGCGCCTTGCAGGGCATGGCGGTGGCTGTCAGTAGTTGCATTTCTAGCAGGCAGAACGGGGTAGTGGTTGGGACAAGACACCAGGACCCCTGTGGCCTCTGCTGAGTGTGTCGCTCAGCCCCCACAGAGAGCAGGCTGACAGGTCTGTGCTGAGGACGTGGCACTGTGCCCACGCCACCTGTGTTTGGGGCTTAGGGTCAGAAGTGATGACCTTGTGCAGCTGCCTTGGCCCATGGGGCGGCTGTGCCCTGTTGGGCTCAGGCCGGAGCAGAACTAGTGGTAGAGCTGAGCTGCTACCCCATGTGTGCAGGTACCGTGCCCCCGAGCTGCTGCTGGGCACCACGACCCAGACCACCAGCATCGACATGTGGTGAGAGGACTACGTGCCGGCGAGCAGGGAGAGGGACTCAGGGTGGGCCTCGCGCTGCTGTTCCTTGGCCCCTGGCACTCAGGTCTGGGGTTGGCAGGTCCCCCACGGCACCCTCTGAGCAGTGCCAGCATGGTACTCAGGGCCGGCGGCCCCTCTCCCGCAGGGCCGTGGGCTGCATCCTGGCTGAGCTGTTGGCCCACAAGCCCCTCCTCCCTGGCGCGTCGGAGATCCACCAGGTTGACCTGATCGTGCAGCTGCTGGGGACGCCCAGTGAGAACATCTGGCCGGTTTGTGCCCCTTCCCGCCCAGGCTGGCCGCTCCCTGTCCCTTCTGGGGCTGCAGCTGTCCTCCCTGCCCCCTGCAGGGCTTTTCCAAGCTGCCGCTGGTGGGCCAGTACAGCTTGAGGAAGCAGCCCTACAACAACCTGAAGCACAAGTTCCCGTGGCTCTCGGAGGCCGGGCTGCGCCTGCTCAACTTCCTCTTCATGTACGATCCCAGGAAAAGGTGCGCACTGCCTGCGCAGCTGCTCGGGTTGGGGCTTGGTGCACAGGCCGGCAGGCTGGCAGTGGTGCTCCTGGGCTTGGCTGCTCAGGGCCCCACAGCAGCACAGACCCTCTGACTCCAGTGCAGGCTTCGCTCTTGTGCCGAGCCGTGAGCCACTCCAGGCTCCTTTAAAGATGGCTGCCCACAGCACAGGCTGCACCGTGGTGAGGAGGGCAGACACTTGGTCTCAGAGCCCAGTGACGACTCAGGCCCCCTCTGAGCTTCCGCAGGTTTCTGGGCCACCAACCCTTATCACCTCCCTTCTCTGGGTGGATGTGTGGCCCAGAGGCTGCTGAGCTGGGCTCAGCACACAGCTGACAGTCTCCCTGAGGCCAAGGGTCCCGTTAATGGGCTGCCTTTCTCAGGGCGACAGCAGGGGACTGCCTGGAGAGCTCCTACTTCAAGGAAAAGCCCCTGCGTGAGTTCCCCACCCCCTAGGGCCAGGTGGCAGTCCTCTGTGCAGACCCTTTGGGAGAAGATGGGGATGGGGGTGGGGGTGGGGGCCAGGGTGTCCAGGGCAGCCAGGCCAGGCCTTGGCACACTGGGGTTCAGACCTGGAGTACTCCCCAGCCCAGCATTGAGCTGCCCTCTCCCACACGCAGCCTGTGAGCCAGAACTCATGCCCACTTTCCCCCACCACCGCAATAAGCGGGCTGCGCCGGGCACAGCAGAAGGCCAGAGCAAGCGCTGCAAGCCCTGATGGTGGCCACACGCAACTCTGGATGACTCCGAACAGAGGGCACCCTGCTCAGCACCTGGCGGAGTGTGGACTGCAAGGGACCAGGGGCCTTGGGATGTCCTCCATTGGCGCTATGGAACCGCCGTGCCTGGAACGCAGCGGCACAGAACCTAGGGAGAATGCTGGCACAGGCCTGGATCAGTGTGATCTTCTGGGGTCACGTGGGCACACACAGGCTCTGATGACCCCAGGCAGGCCTGGCTGGACTCCAAGTGGGAAAGAGGGACCCATGCAGTGTAGGGACAGTGGCAGGGGATACCCTGAGACTTGAGGGAGAAGCAGTGGGCACCTACCCAGTGAAGATAAAAGCTTTCCAAGCAGATGTGACTTTACCATTGTTTAATGTACTGTGGATTCTGACTCGTGCAACAAGAACAGTATCCCAGGGTGCTGGGCAGGGTGGAACAGGAAAACTCGGGGAGGCAGTGAGAATGGGGCACAGGCAGTGGCTGCAGGACCTGCTCCACGTGGACAGGGCAGAGCTGGTCCATCCTATCACGTAGGTGGAAAGAGGCCGGGTGATTCCTAGGGCCAGCAGTGCCCACTGCCTAGACCTGCTAGGGCACGGGAGCCACCCTTGCCCCTGCCCCGCTTCAGGGCAGCTGGGGTGCTGGGGGCTGAGAGTCGTTACCTCCACTAGGCAGGAGGGGGAGAGGTCCCGACTTCAGAGGTCAGCTGTGTACCCGGCAGAGCCTCCCAGCTGGACCTATATAGGGAATCTCCCCCAAAGTACAGGAAGCTGCCAGGAACCATAGGGTATTAGAGGGCCTCCAAAGGGTAGGTCCTTCCTGGGGACAGGTTTGGGCACCATGATGGACAGCCTGACTCTCCTGCTGACATACCTGGAACTGGGTACTGTGGACAGGGTATCTGGGAGGTCCCTGTAGCCCAGCTCAGTTGCTGCTAGCAGGAATCAGTCTCTTCCCACCATGCAAGGCCAGGCTGTCAAGGACAGGAAGGAACAGCCAGGGGCCCCTGCCTCCCCCAGAAAAGCACCATGGAAACTGTTGCCTGGAACTGCTGGCTAAGGCCGGCCCCCAGGGCTGTCATAGAGCAGGGTGTCCACCTGGGCACGCTGTAGCCACAGGCGCCTCTGGGTGTCACTGAGCAGTGCCCGCAGTGAGTGCCCTGGGCGGCAGGCAGGCAGCGCAGTGCAGTGGGCAGCATGTAGCTGGTGGCAGGTGTCGCAACACAGGGTGGGTAGGACACCAGGCACCAGGCAACTGTGTGCCTGGTACCCCAGGGGCTCGGGGATAGGGCCATAGGCTGAGGTCGGCTCCCCCTCCACCCGCCTGTGCCGGGGGCTGGCCTGCCCTGGGCTCCCAGGGGCTTCAGGAGTGGCCAGGTCCCCAGACCGGCTCAGCTCATGGCGCAGGGAGAGGAAGGAGAAGGCGGAGGGCTCAGGCTCCAGCTCTTCCTCCAGAGCCCCATAGGGTGGGCTGCTGGCCTGGGACAGCTCCTCAGCTGGGGGCTCCCAGGTGTGGCCCCCACTGCCCCAGAGTTTGGCACTCTGTTCCCAGAGTGGAGGCCGGTAGGCCAGCTCCTCGGGGGGTGAGCCAGGGCCAGGTGAGGGCTCTCCGTACAGGCTGGCCTCCTCTGAGCCCTCATCCTCCTGCAGGTCCCGGTACAGGTCCAGAGGTGCCCCAAAGGTGGCAGGGTGGCCCCTTGGGGGCAGGGGCGGCGGCTCCTCATCCTGGGCCAGGCGCTGCTGCAGCCAGGCCACACAGGAGGCCACGTCCCCGCTGGCCCGACGTGCTCGCAGCAGGTCCTCAGCCGGCAGCACGCTGGTACCCAGCTGGGTCAGCACCTCCCCCAGGATCTCACACTCCAGCCTCAGTGCGAAGCAGCCCAGGGCCACCTGGACCAGCTGGCAAGCAGGGGGCGGGGCAGCAACCATCAGGCAGTAGTTGTCCCTGCGCACATAGCCCATCTTCTGGAAGCTCTGGATGAGGAGCTCCTCGGAGAGTACGCCCTTCAGCACATGCACGTAGCCCCCGGAGAAGGTCTGCAGAGAGGATGTGGTCAGCAGCCACCTTCCGACCCTGTGCTGCATTCACAGCTAGCTTGTGATGCTAGTGCCCACCCCTAGGCTGGTCTGAGCCAAGCTGGATGACAGGGCTTTTAAGACTTACAAATATTTGAGTTGTGGACTTGCAGGTGTACTTTGTAGACATGAGCGAACCTGACTTGCAAAAGTTCTCCCAGAGTGGACCTCACTCATCGGTCGGGGACTTACTGTAACAGACATACTGAGCTGGCGTACAGTGCACAACAGAGGGTGCGCTGAGGTCTTTGCAGGGCCCGCTGGCCACACCAGACACCTACACTCTAATGGTTCCCCTGCACTGGCCATTCTTTTGTTTCTGGCTATGTGTATGTGTGCATGTATGTGAAAGAACTCTGCCCTGAGTGAACTACATCCCCAACTCTCATTTCTTTGAGGGAAGGTCTCAATACTTCACTAAGTGGTCCACAGTAGGCAGGGACTTGCGATCTTCCTGCCTGAGTCTCCCAGAGTGCTGAGATCATAGAAGAGCTAGCTGCTGCTGCCTCTTCTCTTTTGAGACAGGGTCTTGCTATGTAACGCAGGCTGGCCCCAAACTCGCTGAGATCCTCCTGTACTTTGATCTTTCCCAACAGCAGTTTTGCAAAGCTCTCCCTGCCAAAAATGACTTTGTGGTACCTTTTCCCTAACAGTATGGTATTCGACTATGGACGAACCATTTTTAAAGCTCTCCAGAGACTAAGGTGCAGTCAGTGAAACTGCAAGAATAACAGGTAAGAAAGTGCTTTCTAAACTACAAAGCCTGGGAAGCCCAGAGAGCACCGCCAGGGCCCCGAGTAGTCCTCTTGGGCCTTGGAAGAAGACACTCGCCAGACCTTGGGCACCGGATATTGCACTTCCTTACCCGAAAGCCTTATGAACTGGACCACTATGTCTCTTTGTCAGCGGAAATGGCTCAGCGATACTGGGCAACGCTCAAAGCCAGAAGCCCTGCCACTGCCCAGTGTGTGGGTGCCAGGGACGGCCTGCCTGTCTCGCTCCTGTCTCTGTGGGCCCTACACGCTGGTCTAAAGGATGAATGAAAGCTTTGGAACCTGGACCAGCAGGTGTCCCAGCGGGGCGGCTGGCCTCCGAGCACTAAACAAGAAGCTGCCGCTGCCATGACAACCAGCGGAGGCGTATCTCGCCCATGTGCGCACTGACGTCATCACCTTCCCACTCCTCTCCCCGAGCTCAGGGCGCGCGCCGGCGGCCCAGCCTCCCCTGGGCAATCCCTGCTTCAGTGCCCTCCTTTATCCAAGGGCTCGCCCCCACCCTTGAGGTGTCAGCATGACCATGGGTCCTGATCCCCGTGCACCCACCCTTGGGTTTCCACGGCCACGAGGGTTTTGAGAACACTGAGAAGGGCAGGGTCCCAATCAGGCGGTGCCCACGCGAGTCTGAGCCTACCGCGACCCCCCGGGCGGCTCGCACCTTAATGGTGGTGAACTCCTTTCGCCAGGGCAGCAGGTACAGGTGCACGGCCGCCAGCTCCAGCAACTCGAAGGCGCGCGCGAGGTCGCGCAGCGCGGGCGCCAGGTCGGCGCGGCCCCAGAGCCCGTCGGTGAGCAGCGCCAGCGCGTCGTCCTGCAGCGCGCCGTGCAGGTCGAAGTCCTCCACCAAGATCTGCCAGAGAACGGCGCGCAGCGAGGGGTCCCCGCACACGCCTGCGCGGCCACGCCGCAGCTCGCGCTCCAGGCACAGGCGGTAGTCCTCGGACAGCGAGCTGCTGCCCATCCTGGGCCCCTCCCGACACTCGCGCACGTCCGGAGCCCGAGCCCACGCCCAGCGGAGTGTGCACGACCTCGGGCGCTACCGTTCAGCGCTCTCTGTCCAGAGGTGCTGGCGCCGCTCACCGCGAGCCTTCTCGTCCGCGCGCTTCCGCCGCGAGAGGCCCGGCCCCCAGACCGCGGCCGCGACGTCGGGGCGGGGCTCGGCTCCGGACCAACCCAGAGGTGGGGGCGGGGCCTGGCGGGGCGGGGCCTGGCGGGGCGGGGCCTGGCGGGGCGGGGCTTGGGCTACGGGTCGCCCCAGGTATGGGCGGGGCCGCTGCAAGGAGCGCTGGCGAGGTCTGGCAAATTGGCTGCGGTCCTGCCTCGCCGGACACCTGCCCGAGCTCCTTTGTGGGTTCTTGTCACCGCGTAGTCCGTCTGCTCCTCGCGGCGATACAGGTCCAGGCTGCAGGGAACCCGGAGCGCTCGGTCAATGCCCTCACCTCGCGAAGCGGACTGCTCGCACCGACCCTCGTAGCTGTCTGGTGCCCGGTGCGCGAGGGAGCAGGGCCTTCACCTGGCCTGGCCGGGATTGGCTGGCGCGGGGTCCCAACGCTTTCATTCTTTTTACTTTGGTTCCCTTACCGCTTTGTTCATTTCGTAACTTTGGAAGGCAGCTATGCTCACCACTATACCACCAACGCAGGCTCGTTTTTTAACTTTGAGGTAGGATCTTGCTATAAACTGCCTTTGGCCCCAGCGGTCCACAGAGCTGGGATTACCTGTGTGCGTCACCCACAGCCACCGCCTCCCCGCGCTGCCTTACACCTGAGATCCCGGCTACACTGGAGGCTGAGTAATGAGGATCGCCAGTTCACATCAGCTGGGCAAGAGCCAATCTCAAAATAAAAAATAGAGGCTAAGAACGTAGCTCGGCGCTTCCTGGGTTAATTCTCCACTACCAGAAAAATATGCAAAAAGCAACCTTGGGCTGGAGATGTGGTTCAGAGGGAAGAGTGCTTGCCTGGCCTACATAAAACTCTAGGGTTCTTTCATAGTGCACCGCATGCTATGAAAAGAGAGGTATAAAACCACCAGCCATGGGGCTGGGGAGATAGCTCTGTGGCTTACGTGCCTGGCAAGCGCAAGGTCCTGAGTTTGATCCTGCATGCAGTGCTGACCAGGTGTGGTGGCACATATTTGTAATTCCAGCACTACGACAGGTCTGAGCTGCATAGCAAGACCCTGTATCAGAAGAAAAAAAAAAAAAAAAACCAACCAACCAGCCAACAGTAGGCCAAGTCATTGGCAGGTGTCTGACGAAGCTTGCAAAGCCAACCCCATCCAGACTTTCTCCTAGCTCGTGTGGCGTTTTCTTTCCCTGATTTGAGTCTTCTCTGATTTGGGAAGCATTTGAGGTCCCACCTTCTGCTAGACCACACGCACTCTTCAGCAGCGCAAGCCTGTCTCTGCACCTATCTAGGCCTCGACCAAAGCCATGCATCTAGCTAAAGGTGGCTTCCTGCCTTTTCTCTGAAATTTCACTGGTTGTTTTCAAATGTTTCAAAGGAAATTTTCTTTTTTTAAAAAATTTTATTTATTTGTGTGTGTGTGTGTGTGTGTGGCCAGCTCAGCCCACCAGGGCTGGCTGGCATGTGGTGCTGGGGGATTGAACCGTGGTCCCTGTGATTTGCTAAGCTTGCTCTAAGTAGGTGCTTTAGACCACTGAGCCATCTCACCAGCCCCTCAAAGGAAATTTTCTAAATATTATAACCATGCAGGCAGAGCTCCCTGTGGCTTGTAACTGGGTACCACCAACACAAGCTGTCCCATGAACCTGCCCAGATGAGAATGTGAGAAAACAGGACTTGCAAATATGCTTGAACAGTGTTGGGTGGCTGGTTCCGCCTGTCTAGCTACTGGGGACAGGTGCACGCTCCTTTGCCTTCCCTGTTCGTGGGGTTGCTGTCACTCCTTTGGGCTCAAAGGACAGACTTGCTAGGTCAGAAACCCCATCCACACGCAGCTGGAGCCAGTAGTGTGAGTTGACCAGAGTCCAGTCCACCCCACAGCTGTCCCACTACACACTCAGCATTGTCCAGCTTTCCAGAATGTTCCCAAGCCCAGTGAATATGAAGTTGTATCTTTTACTGTTTTAACTTGTACTTTGTGGGAGACCATCTTGAGGCTGAGCAGGAGAGACTGAAATTCACAATTGGCAGGTATTAATATGAGAAAGCCAAGGCCTATAGGGCTGGAAGAAGCTCCCTTTGGCATCTTGGGTGAAGCCCACCATCACGCCACTGACCCACGGTGTCCTGGTGCCCCACACCTGGGTAAGAGCCACAGCGGAGGGGGGCAGTTCCAGCTCCATCCCCTCATTCCCAGGCCTACCTGCCTCAGCAGGCCAGCCTTATTTCCCCCTTTTCCCTCCACAAGCTCGTTACTTCTGTGGAAATGCAAGTACAGACAGCACCAAGCTTTTGGTCTCTGTCCCCATCAGACTCTGACCATTCCTGTCCCTCATTGTAGATGCTTATCTCTGGTTCATTCTTGTGCTGCACCCCTTGGCAGGTGATGGGGGGCTCAGGCCAGGGCCCCTCGTTTTTTGATTGATGTGGTTTTTTGAGACAGGGTCTTGTAGTGTAGGCTGGCCTTAAACTCATTACACAGCATAGGTTGACCTTGAACTTGTGGCAACCCTCCTGCCTCAGCTCCTGAGTGCTGGGATTACAGGTGTGTGCCACCACACCAGCTCAGTTGTGATTTTGAACTCTATATTTTTTTCTTTTGGTAGCACTGAGGACTTTGCAGAGCACACTCCTAGCCCTTTTTGTTTTGAGACAGGGTTGTGCTAAGTCTCAAACTTGCCCAGCCAGGTTCTGAACTTGTGATCCTCCTGCCTCAGCCCCTAGTGTGCTAGGATTGTAGATGTAGAGTGTTTTGTCCGCTAGATACACTGCCCATCTGAAGCTACTGCTGTTTTTTTTTTATAATTGGGACTCCTGCCTTTCCGGACTGACTTGCAGGATTTCCGGTGGGAACATTCTGTTCCTCATTTGTGTTCCGTGGGCTGCTATGCCTGAGGAAGGCCCAGGGCTACTGCAGTCATGTGCCCCCTCACTGCACAGGGGCGGCCACGTGCAGGCTCACCACCACGCTGTCTCCAACGCAGTGCTTTACTCAGTGCTGAGGCTTGAGCAGGGATGGCAGAATCCAGCCTCCCCCCACTGTCAGCGCCTGCATCAGCACCCAGCTACCTGTTTCCCTGCAGTGGCCTGCGTTCCCAGGCCCCTTCTTTCCTGCCTTCCTGTTCTACAGGCCTGCCATCTGGGCATCAGGTGCCTCTCCACACGTGGAAGTGCTGCCACTGTAGGGCTCTGGTCTGTGTCCTCTCAAATGGGATACATGGCCAGCTTAAGGTCCTGTGTCCTCCTATGGGGACACACAGCTACCTCAAGGCCCTTGTGTGCACAGGCAGAGTGGGGCCATCAGGGGAGGCTCGCATGCCATGCCACTTGGGTCCATATCCAGTGAGTAGCCCACACACCTGTTGTGGGGCATTCTATGCACCTATCTGGGCATCTGTGTCCCCGTGGGAAGTGCAACCAGGGCACATCATTACCATGTCCCTGTGTGACTTGCTCCCGAGAGGCCCCCAGATGATGCTCTGGGTGGGGCTGAGCTCTACTAGACAGCAGAGCCCTGCTGCCCTGGCCAGGGTGGCCCTGCTCCAGCACAGAGGGTCTCGGAAGCTGTGCTGCCTGAGCCTCAGCCCGTGAGTGGAGACGGAAGAGCCACACCAAGGCAAACTGCAGGGACCTCTTTACTTAGGGCCCAGTTGGTAGCCACATGGCCAGGAACCCTTGGACTCACACCAACCTGGGAAAGGCAGGACAGGGTGGGAGTTGGCTAGGGCTTAGGACACCCATTAACCACAACCAAAATGAGGTGGGGAGGAGGCCCCTGCCAGGGAGGGGGTGCAGCTCCAAACCCGGACTCCAGTAGGAAAGCCACGGCCCAATAAATAAACAGCAGGGTCTCTCCCCGTGCCCAGGCTCAGGCAGGGGAGGGGTGCTCGTGCTCTGACTCTGGTCCCTCTGTGCAGTGCCCTGAGGGTGAGCAGCTCCAGGCTTCCTTCCTAGGACCTCTCAGCGGTGGGCACAGGGTAGAGCTGATGTGCCTGTCCTGCTGCAGAAAGAGGCTGCCCTGAGCCTCGGGGGCAGCTGAGGGCCAGGAAGGGGACCAGAGCTGGGGTTCCATCACAGCTCACTGCCCCCAGTGCTGGCACCTGAGTGCAGAGCAGCAGGCCCTGCTGTGGCCCTGCGGTGCAGCCGCGATTACTTGCCCAGGGGCCGCCCAGGCAGCAGCTCCACGTAGCTCAGGGCGCTCTGCAGCGATGTCAGGCAGTAACCCTCCTCTCCAATCAGGTATCTGACAGAGGCAGCCAAGGGATAAGTGTCACCTGAAGGGGACAGGAACCCCCTCCCATGCTCCCACAGGCTAGGACTTGGGTTGAGGGACCATAGCTAGTTTTATAGGTTTATAGGAAGGCCCCTCCCTACCACCTGTCCTCACCCTTGGATGGCAGCGCTGGGGACCAGCCCTAGGACATGACTGCCCTTGGGGACAGCCTCTCGCCTCTTGCCTAGGATCCTGGGGACATGCTGTGGTCAGTGTTCTGCTGCAGTCTGTTGTCTGCCAACCACCAGCTTAGATCAGTGGTGAGGTACCTGCTGCCCAGATCTTCCTGTGGGGATCCCTGCCCCCCAACCTGGGGCTTTTTTTGGGAGACCTGAACATGCCTTCAGGGCATTTCTGGTTTGGCAGGATTATCTGGGTTCGAACCAGTGCAACTTGAGCCTCTAACCTGGGGCTTCTTACCCCTCATGGGTGAATTCCTCCAGCGCTGCACACTCTGATACCAGCTGGGGAAGGCCACTCCTCAGCACCACAAAGGACAGGATGGGCAGCAAATCATCCGCACCACTGCCGGGAAGGGGCACCATGGCTAGTGGGCTCTGGGCCTGAGCAAGCACCAAAAAAATGGCGCCTGGGCCTGACCTGGCCCACCCCTTAGTGGTGCAGGACACCAGCAGGAGGGCCAGGCATGTGACAAGGTCCAGTGTGCAAGTGTGGTGCTCTCCTGCTCCTCTGGTCCTAGGACCACGCAGGCTTCTGGGTGCCCCTTCTCCTTGGGGTCCTCTCCTAGTGACAGGAGGCTGCCCAAGACTGGGGATGTTCAGCTCAAAGCCAGACCTTCAAAGCCACCCTAGTCAGTCCATGTGCACTGACAGCTCCGCAAGGCTGCATGGTGCTCAGCCTGGCAGCTTCTGCAAGGCCCAGGGGAGCAAGGAGTCTACAGGGGAATAAACCGCAAGGCCAGGGCCAGGCTGACCGACCACACAGGGCAGGACACCTGCTAGCTGTAGGATAGGCTGAGGAGGAATGCAGACTCCTAGTCCTGTAACTCAGGATAGTACAGGGCACCCAGCTCTGCCTTTGGCATCTGCTGCTAGGCCCCGTGCAGGGCTGCCACTGCCCCCAGTGCATGGAGGAGCACCGCAGTTCTGATCTCCAGCTGGGGCTGGGGCGGGGTGGGGGGCTGGACTTCTGCACCTGCAGTGACAGGTTTCTTCATGGCCAGTACTGGGCCCGGGGCAGGGCAGCAGGAAGCAGGGCTCCTAGGTTCTGAGGGGAACACTGGCTTTGGATGAGGAAGCTGCTGACCACAGCTGAGCCTAGGGTGGGGTTCAAGGCAGGATGAGGCATTTCAGGGCTCAGGGCTCAGGTGGACGCCATCCAGGACATGCTAGAAAGCCCAGTTGGGGAGTAGTGGAAGAGCACCACTCCCTGAGCTCCCTCTAGGGTGCACTGGGGGGCTCAACTGCAGGCTTCGGGAGGTGCACCCCCAGTGTGAGGAAGCCTTGGTCCATCCAGGAAGCTGCAATGTGGTCACAGGTGGGAGCCTGCCCTCTCTGCCCATGTCCCCCGTGGCAGGACCAGCTCTGGATATACCCAAAGAAGCCGGCCTGGGCTGCTGGGTCAGGAACAAGGCAGGGCCGTCCTCCCCTCCCCTAACCTCTGTAAGGACAGCCTCAAGCCCAGGGCTCCCAGGGCTGTCTAGGACTCACATGGCAGCTGCAGGGACATGGGGTCCGGCTTCCGGCCTGAGCTCCTGGGCACGGCAGTAATCCTCAGCACAGACGCAGATGACCCGCAGGGTCCGCACTGCGGCACAGACATGGGGCTGCGCAGGGCGTTCTCTCCCAGGGCTGCCCACCCTTCTTGGGAGAGCCAGCACGTTCGGGACACTCCCCTCAGACTGGGGCTGTGACCCAGGGAAGGCGTCTGTTGCATCTGACCAGACCCACTTGCCCCCAAACTCTCATACCGATGCACCCCAGCTTCTTCTGGGGGCAGCTCTCCAGAACCAGGAGCCCCAGCTCCTGGGCCGCACTGCAGTAGGGGTAGGTGGTAGCACCCTTGCCCTCAGGGCCTGGGGGTAGGAGCTTGGCAGGGATGCCCAGAGCCGCAGGGGGTGCGTTCCGGTAGAGCTCCATGCTCCTGCCCAGGGCGGCCTCCCGTGCATGGTACACGCTCCTAGGGCAGAGAGGTCAGGCTCAGCCACACCAGAACCTTACCCAGACGCTTGGCAGCGACTGGGACCAGGGTTCAGCCTGGGGTGAGCTGGCAGTGAAGACCCCAATTATGGAGAGTGGGCAGGGACCATCCAGAAAATAGAACTCCTGGGGGCAGCCTCAGCAAACAGGAAGGGATCAGGCCGCGGCTGGTACTGGAACAGGCCTGAGACATGGCAGTAGTAGTGCCAGACAGGAGGTCAGGGACCAGGCCAGGGCTATACCTGTACAGGGCCAGCAGCAGAGGCCACAGTGGGGAGAAGAAGGGTTCCTCAAGACAGGCCAGGCAGCGGTCTTTGCAAGCAGCTGTGTTCAGGCTCTCAAAGGCCAGGAGGGTCAGCGAGAGTAGCCTGTCTGCCAGGAGCAGAGTGAGGACTTCCTCAGGGCCCTCCTGGCCAAGCCTGAAGCCAGTCATCCCGACCCGTCCTATGGCCTGGGCCAGAGCCCAGCTCCCCACTCCTCCGAAGAGTCTGCGAGGAGGGGAGGAGGGCTTCTGAAAGGGCCCGACCAGCTCTGCAGCCCAGGGGAGGAGGGCTTCTGAAAGGGCCCGACCAGCTCTGCGGCCCAGGGGAGGAGG